CCCCCCCCCCCCCCCCCCTCTCGCACCTCCCCCGCTTTTTACTGTAGGCCCTATTTGAAATTAGAATAAATAATAAGCTATTAGAAAATTCCTTGTTTGCAAATTGACACATTAGCGTCGTTCGTCATTTTCTTGAAAATGTCACGAAATTTTAGCTCAAGAATAAGAATGTTTAAACTTCACGATGTTCTGTACTTGTTTATCTTCCTTTGTGAATGTTTTTGTCACGTGAAAAGTGTTCCATGTCGGGGAACAGCGTCGTATAAACTACAATTTCAAGCGGAGTGGAAAAATACTACATCTCGACCAGCTGGGGCTGGATTTTCGGGACTCATCGGCTGCAGTCACAACAAGTGCTACCGAATGTGGAAACCGGGAGAAAAAGCATCGCTTGGAGTTAAAAATGTCGCCGAGAAAGGTTGGTTTCATGGTTTGACAGCTAGTATTATTAAATAGTTGAATATTAAGTTTGTTATATTAACTTTGATAAATTATGCCGAACTTTCTTGATGTCATTGGTACTTATAATTTATATCGTTTTTAAAAAATATTTTGTACGTTTTAATAGGTTATACTTAAGTTCTAATTACAGCACTAGACTGCACTACCAATGTACTATTAAATCCTAGTAAATAAATAAATATATAACAGAGACAGATCATCTACATGCATCATCAGCTATCTTGGCTGAAACACAACACCAACATATGAAATGGAATTGTATATATCTATAGCACTGGCAATGATTCTGATACAGAACTGCCCACCCACTACACAATACCTGGAAATGGCAGACCTTCTAACTCTCACGGTTTGGCTGTGAGACTCAATCTTTCAGGTTGATCATTTCACTGTTCTAAATCTCATGGTCTTCAAGAATGAATGACAATCATAATAAAATACAACCAAAATCAAACTTGTGTATATTAAGCTTGGAAAACACAATCAAGTTCTGTGATCACAGTAGGAATTTTGCATAGGTAAATTCTAAGTTTTGACTTTAGTGTTAATGAATTCCAACGAGCTTCTCCTGTCACCATGAGCTTGTTCCAGCATGCACCCCTGCTTTACTTTCATTGATGGGTAAAAAATGATGGTGTTATTCTTTGCTAGGAAATTACAACGAACTCTCCAGTGAGATTCAGAAACACATTGAAGAGTGGAAGACTGCATCAGAACGACTCCAAACAAAAAATAACACCATCGGCCCTGAGGCTCATGTCTCTTTACCCAAAAGTGACCACCAACATGTCAGTGGTTTTACGGTAGACAAATCTCGGCCACTGGTATCTGTCATTGCCAGAATAATACCCTCCCCAGATTGGTTTATTGGTGTCCATGATGTGAGTTTGTGTAATAAATCAGGACATTGGATTAAGGATATAAGGATTACTCTTTTTCCATTTGATGCTGGTACTGCAGATACATCTACATACAATAATTCTATTGTTGTACCATCACACCCACGTCAGAATATTCAACAGTCACAAGTAGAAGACATAAGTGATTCGGTTAGAGGAATGGGCTACATGAGGTTTGCATTGGTTCGAAAATCGGAGTCCGGTTCAACTGTAGTTGTAATAGACGAGAATAATTGTCCAAACATGGCCTCATTAACAAAAATGTCTTCGTTAGTGTGGTTTGCCTTGATTGCAACCATATTATTAATAACATCTTAGTTAGTAACATACAATTTAGGACATGTTATCCTCCTCTCAGTCCTCTGCAGACATTTAACCCATTGAGTGGCAGCACTCTCCACTTGACGAGCAAAATCGTCTGGAGTTAGACTGAGTAAAATACTGAAGTAGGGCGCATCAGGGTGCATTGCCACTTAGGGGGTTAATGGGTGGTAATGCATGCATGGGATGTATAATATATAAATTAATTAATAGTGTACTTAATTTCCGTACTTATACTAGTTATTGGTAAGCATGCAAGCAGTTTAGTGCATACATTTTTGTAACCTTATAAGTAAATTATAATGGAGTAAAAATGTTCAGAGAAATTCATGTTGAATAAGTGTTTTAACCGCTGCTTGCATATTAACTAATTTGCACAAAAATAATGATGAGGTGCACTTTATTGACTTTGTTATCCTGTTTTCTTGCTCATTGTCATTGGAATGGTTGTCATTTGCACAAATCACTTTTTGCTAAAAAGATGGGATACACTGGTCAAGTGAACCAAAGTGCAGATCAAGTGTATATACCAGGGGGGTGATCCATTTAGTACCAAGGGTGGGTAGTAGCGAAGTAGTTGTAGTTTCAAGTAGCCAGTAGTTTTTCACTACTTTTTTTAAAAAGTAGCTTTAGTTATAGCAAACTACATTTTGCTTAAAAGTAGCCAAGTAGTTGACTACTTTTCAAACAGCGAATCGCTATTCGCTACTTTTTAAAATTGTTAGCAACTTGATAGAATAGAATGTTATTAAGACACGGTTTGCTTAAATATGCCATGCAACTGTGCAAGTGCCATCTTATTTACTCGCCAGTCAATTTGTTATAGGTTTAATTACAGTCTGAGCCAGTATAGATACTCCAAATACAGTAATGTATAGTAGATACATACATGTATAGCGTAGTGAACTAGCTTCACTTTATCTATGTAAATGGTCTACACAAGAGCTACCATCAATATAGGTTTTCCTTATTGGTAATTACAAGAGGAAAACCAGGGTCCCAGGAGGAAACCTGAGCTGTTTGGTAGACTAAAACAGAATTTCAGAAGCAGTCTTCTCCAGTAGCGTGGCGAAGCTTACCATGGCAACTGGTCATGCTATGCTAATAAACCTACATCTAAATAGGTTAACGACAATGCATTTCTAAAGGTTTTAGAAAAAGAAAATCATTAAAAATTTGCCACTGCTGTGGCTAGCTTCGCCACTGCTCTTCTCGCATCCAATTGAGGCAAAATAGTAATCACACAAGTATATACATACTGCTGGAATGGTACATTGGTACTAGCTGTTCAGTTCTGTTGACACCAGAAGTAATAACAAGCTTTAATCAAACTCGTGAAATTTACAATACTATGTGAGAACGAAACAAAAGACAATACAACAAACAAAGGCGAGTTAGATATGGGATCGGTGAACGGACTCGAAGTCCCAGCAAGGCAAACCCCACACATAAATTATAACTAGAAATTTACACTAAGAAAACCGCATAAAACTTCAATAAAAGTTCTCTAATACCACTGACCAGACAGCCCAGTCTCTTGCTCAGGTTGACTGCACATACCAATGTAGAAACAAATTAATTTAATAGGAATTATTTCGGAAAATAATCCTAACCCGTGCGCTATACTACTAATTCTAATTTTAAAGACAGTGGCGGAAATCACTTTTTCCGGTGGGGGAGGGGCAAAGCCTCCTAAATTTCCGACAAAACTTTCAAATTTCCGACAACCCCCCCCCCCATTTGCACTCGAAAAGGCTGTTTTTAGCCCTTTTATAGGTCAAAATTTCCGAAAATTCGTCCATTTTCCGTGAAGGGGGGGGGGGGGCGGCCGCCCCCCGCCCCACTAAGATCTCGGCCACTGTTTAAAGATAAGGATGTACATTGTACAGTCAATCTGAGGAACATACACGATTAAAAACAGGTTTAAAACAAAAAAACATTTTCTGGCACGATGCTGATCGTATGTGCATGTGTTCTTTGGTTCCAACCTCCCAAAGAAAGATCCTGGGTACCAGGTTGTTCCTGATCCATGGATAGCAGTAAGCTTTATTTGATCTATAAAACTATATTCTATCTAGGAGATACAAAAGTGCTAGAAGACGAAATAAACAAACTGGTCAGGAACAGAACTACACGACACGCGTTCACCCGGCCTACCCCTCTCGCACCTCAGCGAACCTCAGACGTAATTGAATTCAATGTTGACTCCGTACGTCCTTTGGTTTCTTTTATAACCAGAATAACACCTTCACCTGATTGGTTCATTGGTGTACACGACCTTGACCTATGCGACCGGATGACAGGTGACTGGTTAGACCTCAAACAGGTTCAGCCTGTGTCAGCATTTTACGCGGTAACAAGCGATGGTATCGGGCGAATTTCTAACGATCCGTCCGCACCCTGGACGACTCAGAAGCGAGAATTGGGCGTGTTTCATTTTTCCAAAATGTCGGATTCGGGCAGATCCAGTACAGGCGAGTTTGAATCTGACGAGACATTCATATGTCCTAGCAAAGCCTCGCAAACTAATATGTCGTATGTGGTTGTGTTTTTAACCTCCTTGCTTGTTGCCCTCATCTTATAGCTTACAATCGTCTGATATTTTCTCGTGAACGAGTTCTGATAAGAACAATTCTTTATAACCTGTACATACTATTTGTTTTAAAGATGTTACACTGTATAGCTTCATATTCTAATCCATTCAAAAATTAACCGCCACTTTAGCTTACGTTCTGGCTAGCTAGCCCCCACTTTAACGCTGGCTGACGTGGACACTCCATCTACGTCTAACATGGTTGCAATTATTTGTTAATCCTGACTCCTGTTTTTATAGTTAACCAAAAATGAACATTGTATTCTGCTCTAACATTCGACTATGGTTTAATCCAACCTATACCTGGACCTTCTATTTTTATTATTTTTTTAATATTCAGTGCTTTTTCACATGAAAAGACTGGGACCATGGCTATACTTACCAAATGCTAGCCCGAAATTGACCAAATCTGCCAAAGCCAGCCGAGTAAAGGCCTAGGTCTAGGCTGGGTGTGATGCAGCTAATCTATCATTCCTGATGATGTCGAAATTAAAATGTTCATTTTTGGAGTTATAGTTATTTTGTTTTTATTTTTGAGCTCAGTATAATGAAATTCCATAACATTTCTGTTTTACAAACCATGCTTGTCACCATGCAAAAATATTTGAAAATTTGCTTGTTTTTATACGTACTACTACTACTATGGTAATTAATAGTTAAGTCTTCGTTGCTATTTAGTCATTCGGCCAAACTTAAATTTAAATTGAACTAATAACCTCTGTGGACGGTTTTCATACCATTTCCCCCAGCTAATTCCAGTTAGTTTTCTAACGGATCCGCGTATCGCGCTAACCAAGTTTAATCAGTTGATAAAATCATAATATTCTATACTCCTTGTAGCCATGATAAACAGGCAGACAAAAAGAATAGAAAGGACACTGAACGTTTCCGCAATCCGTTTGGCTTTCCTTTTAATTTTGGCCCATGTTCTTACTCCATGAGGTATATACGACATCAAAAGCGTTGTGTAAAACATGCAATCTTTTAAATACAGTATAGGAATCTGTGACATTCTTTATCAACCAAGGAGTAATTTAATGGCAATCCCCAACATTCTAAAGAAACAAGACATAATATAGTACATAAACACATCAAATGAATCAGCGAGGACTGCACAGATTAAGTATGAACCTGGTATGAACAGATGTGTAAAATGGAAAACTGTAATTTGGTAATACTTTAAATGTTACGCCTTTATATTGTATGCGACGGTTGTCCGAATGCCATGCACGTACGGTTAGCTATATCGTGTGAACGAGAAACATCAAAGCGAACAGCCAGTTTATAAATTGAAGATATTTTTCAGGAATGTTATCCTGTTAATAGAAGTGTTATTCTCTACTGCGAAACAGCGGGTTAAATTTTAACCTACCGTTAACGCTAATATGTTTAAACTTACATGATAAAAAACCAGATCGATGTCACAGCCGTCGTACAACCACGACAGGTTATTTCTCGTGGACAATCTGAAAAAGAAAAAATATTCCACATGACATACAGGCCTAAACAAATATCATGAAGAAGTGGATCGTGATATACAATGTATACGATTCATTTTTCCTAAAGTTGGGCAAAGTATGGATAAATCTTTTCTACACATGACTTGGCGAACCACATTTTAAATATTAAAAGTTATTCTAGTGGTTTATGAGTCTCAAGAAAAAAGGGTGCAAGTATCGAACGACACACGCGTTGCTTGTGATATCGTTCGGACACAGAGTACTCCGCCCAACACCAGTTGACACTTTGATTCGCAGTTGTCTATAATACAGTGAATTCGCAGTTGTCTATAATACAGGTTGTTGAAATTCACCATTTATTAAATCAAATTAAGTTAACTACGGTGGTGCAAAAGTCAACCAATCAAAATCGCGTATTTTAGACACTAAGAGTTTTAATACAACCACCCCGAGCTGAAACATATGATGATATACATCATAGATTCAAGAATGGCTGTATGATGATACATACACATAGAAAATGAGAGATTATGCTGACCATCTTGCTTGTGAGCTTGTCTCTCTAAATTTAATGTCAGCTAACCTGGTGTATAGGGACAGCAAAGACCTTCAAGAATTCCCTGAAATATCTCGCTTGAATTCGTTACCACAGCAGATGATATATCATCATTCCTAGCTCTGAACGGATTAACATCTAAGAAAAATATCCTTTCATATCCGACAAAAACTTCAGACCGACAAGCTGCCGAGTCTGCGAAGCCTGCAACTACAATTTGAGTTTCGTTCAATTTCCCTTTGTAAACATGGCTGACATTTAGTGTTGCCTTATACTCTTGTCGGTGTATCGTTCGGTTGTCTGTTGCCACGACCTTGGCATGCAACACCAGCGGCGCCAGTTTGGTTAATTCCGCAATCGACTTCGACTCGTAACCCACAGGTTGGCTACACGACTCACAAAAGCCAACAAACGTGAATATTGTTGCCAAAGTTACGATGAGTAATTTCATGACTCTTCGATGTTTATTATCCCGAGTCAGACGAATAACGAATTATGTTTATATGTGGAAAGTAGCAAAGCTATACGAGGCTCATACGAGACACTGCATTAATATTATTTGTATTTTATTATATATGCATATAGTTTGAGTATACGTAGGGGGTGTCATGTTACGCTTTGTCATGTATCGAATTCGTTGATAGGGATGCAACCACATGAAAAATATAAGGAGAATTTCTCCTTATATTTGTCAGCTATAGTTGCATCCCTATCAACGAAAGTTTGTTCATTTGATTGGCACTACCTACACTGGCAGTTCAGTTTAATTATTAGTTGTACCAATTTTAGGATGAGGTCTGTCATCACACTATGTGACCATGTGATCACCATTTACGTTATTTGGAAGTCAATCTTGCAATCTAGCTTTGTCTTTGACATTACGTTTCTTTTCAAAGACCAAAGTTTAAATTAATTAAACTGTGAGTCACTCACTGTGAGAAAATGTAAATTAGCTTATATATCCAAGATCCGGGGTTTTTTATATTCGTATTGTCATTGAACATATGCTCATGAGTCATGAGTCATGGCGTTCTGTTCGTGGAGCGGTAGTGAAAAATACAGGGATCACTTTGAAGTTGGTAATAATTTTAATGTTATTTTCAATGTGACCGTTTAGAATAGAGGTTGCCAAAACTGGCAGTTGTTCAGCGAAGACCCTCTATGATATCGTTGTAGAAACTGCTATATTTTCAAGTTATCTCAGAATAATTAGCCTTTGAGGATGCCTTAAAACCATCCGCTTTGGCGTGAAGTCTTGAGGTAGCAAGCCAAATGCAGGACATTATTCACTGATAAAATTGACTATCAACATCTAAAATATCAACCTGCCTTGTTTGGTTGATTGTAGTTAAATCTAGCCTGCGTAGCAGTCGCTTTATTCTGTTGAAGGTTTGAAGGAAGGTTTGAAGGAAGGTTAATTTGTTCGACCGCGGGCTATCAATCTCGTACCCAGAGCATTGGAACATGGCTCTGGGTACGTATACGTGATTGAACCTAACCTAACCTAACATACATATTGACATGTATATGTTGGTAATATGTGTTGTCTTGAAGGCCACCCGATATTTTTCTTCATTCGTTTAAATTATTAATATGTCATACACGTCATCTATCGTCCAGGTATATACAAATGTGTGAAGTGTGGTAATGGCTTATTTCATGGAAAGAGTAAATACGCACATCACACGCCATGGCCGGCATTTAATGAGACGATTCGTGAAGACAGCGTAAGAAAAGAAATTGAAACTGTTCCACAAGAAAGCAGTCAGGCCAAAGCAATGAAAGTAAGCCGGACCTTTGTTTACTAGAAGACGTAGTACATTTCATGACTAGTACTTTCATGACTAGAACTAGTGCATGCTTTTCACTGTCAGTTTCAGGCGATTGAGTTTCTCATATTTATGGCGAGGGTAGAAAACGAATGTTACCTAAAAACAAATGTAACCAAAATACTTCTTTTGTGGATTTCTAACTTCTTTTTCACTGCCAGTGTATACAGTATAACAAGCACCTTTCATAATTTATATTTTGCTGGCAGGTGCCTTCCATGGGTCATTTTCTAAGGGTCTCGTTTCTTGCCGCTTAGGATCATCTTCTGAGAGTTTCTCAAATAATTATTGCATACTTACTACGTGAACGTATTATCCAAATTGAAATATTACATTCAATATTCTCTTTTTGCTATTTTTTGTTGAGGTTTTCTGTGGCAAATGTGGAAACAGCTTGGGTCACGAATTTATCGGCGACGGTCCCAATGGCGCATCAAGATTCTGAATTTTTTCAAACACTTTACAATTTGTGAAAGCTGAGTAAGCTTTTATAATGTGATTGAAAGTGTGCTGTGGAGGGAGTTATTGATCGATTTACCATTCGTCTCGAGTACTGGCATACGTGAGCTCATATACCATGGATTAAAAAATTTAAAAATGAGAGTCGGGCGGGATTTCACGTCCAAACAGTTTGCTCTAAGAGTCCTGGACTTGAAATCCCATCCAGTTCTGAATTTGACTGGGATCACTGGATCAGTTAAAACGACATCTCTTACGAATAGATCATTACTCAAGTGAAGTGAATTAACTTTGACACAGCCTCCCACTGCATCCAGACGTCATTTCCCACGCTTCTTCGCTCGGAACCAAATGAGCGAGCGGATGAGAGTGGGAAATGACGTCTTGGTTCGCAGACTATAGGACTCGAGTCAAATAGTCATGATACTCATGATCATTCGATAAAGATCGCTAGAATGCGTGAATTGGGCTGACTGGCAAATGGAGAGAATAAGAGAATTTGATTAAACATGAAATATAATGTAATGATGTATTTAGTTCAAAGCCAAAACGTCTGGAGGACTTGATACTGAAGAGGTTCATTATTTCATGTCAAAATTTTGTACATAGCAGCGTAAAAAATATATTACAACTCGAGCAATTGGTCTGATGTAGATTGCGTTCTTCAATAGACAATAACTTGGCTATAATGACAGCCAGGGGAAAGCCTCCCAATTTGCTCGTAATGTCTCAATCCCTATCTGTCTGGTATTTTGAAGATAGTTTGGGAGTCGCCTAGAGATCTAACCATTGTCAGTGTCTTGTCCCCCCTCTCTATTTTCGCTCCCTCCAACAACGCTCCTGCCTTTTTAGTAGGCCACGCATCGCCTTTTTTGGTTTCGCCGTTTTCGCGCTTTTTTTCACCGACGGATTTGACATCAACACTTGGTACGGGTTCCCTGTGCATCATCCTTCTTTTTGAAATTTGAATGAAAGTTGTTGCAATCATGATGCACAGTAGTTTATATAGTCGAAGCATTTGAACCGAAGTTCTAGCTGTTATTTATTCGGCATTTGCTATGCCAATAGGTTTTTGTATTGACAATGAGAGTTCGTTTTATGAAACGGCTCTGGTTCTATCCCAAAGTTATGGCATTCACAATATACACGCTGACATTCAATGCATTTCAATCCAACTCGCCCGTCGCTGACTGTGCATTTGAACCTGTCATATGGCTTGTTGACCACTTTGCTGGACTGCTTGGCCGGGTAAGACTTTATTGATAAAACATTGATATTTGAATGTTATTTTTGAGGTGCTTGAGCCACGAACCAATGCCTGATTATTGTGATTAACACTTTCCCTTGACTGGTGAAATCGTCTGGTGTTAGAAAGAGTATAATGTAATTACAAAGTAATAATTCTTATTCCGCGTTGACACATTAACACCAAACACTTTCCCTTTTATTAGGACTATTCTACTTTGCATTCTACTTTGTTATATTGATTTTAACTCCAGACAATTTTCCTTGTCGAGGCAAAAGTGCATGGCCATTCATATTGCCTTTTTAGCTGGGTGACACGTGACAGTAATGAGCAGAATGTCTACGACAAGTTTTTATGTCTTTTAATATGGCAAGTTTTATTTGCTCAGCTGTATAAGTAGGTTTTTCTATGACAAGTACACTTATTCAAAAGCTAGCTAGCATGCCAGCTGCACTTGTCGTAGAATACATGATATAAAAAAATTGGCAAAATGCACATTTTGCTGTCAACAAAGAAAATTTGACAATGAAAATTTGACAAAGTAATTTGCACACTTGGATGTGTTTTGTCAGTGATCCTTTGTTGCAGAACTTGTCATATAATATTTGTCTATGTAAACTTGCCATTTAAAGAGTCCTGGTCAACCACAATGCAATGCAAGCTTTTGTTTATGTTTTTCTGTTACTTTTCTTAATTGTTGCTGCCATTTTTGAGGTCACTAAAAATAGCTTCCTCTGGCCCACAACGTAGCAGAAACGTAAACAAATGCACGCATTGCATTGTGGTTGACCAGGACTCTTTAAAAACTAATGTCATAGAAAATGTGCTCATCGTAATTGGTTTTAGCCATAATTATTATTTGCATGCAGGTACACATGTTAATGCATTAAGCCAGATTATATGCACCGTTCAAAAGTGGCCAACTTTAATTTATAATCATGTTAGATTAGAGCTGCTTCTATCGATTCATTATTGTAGTCAATTAATCATCATCAACAATCGATTAAAATTAATCATATTGAGTAAATCTAGACATGTCCACAGTGGTTAACGTTGCTTCCATTTGCTCAAGTAACCTACTACGCATGGCTATTTTGTTGATTCGATTATTGTTAAGAATAATCAATTGCAAAAAAAAAACTCCAAAATAATCAATCAATCAGCAGCTCTATGTCAAATGATTCAATCAAATGAGGGGAGTTTGCATATTAATAACTTAAACAGTAACCATACTGCTTAAATTATTTTTCAGGCATTGGTTATACTAGTAAGCTTAGCAATATCTGGCGTTGTTGTGGTATTTTATATTTATGTGATGCCAATAGTTCTGGAATATGATAATATATTGTTCATTGTCTGTCATTTGATCTGTGGTCATTGGTTGTTGTTGAATGTTGCATTTCATTATTATAAAGCTGTGTCATCTAGTCCTGGTTATACACCATCTGTAAGTAAAAACTAAATAAGCTAATTAGTATGACACTTGAAGTTTGCATGAATACCTCCATCCTCCGCCAGCGAACTAAGTTATGTATCATGCATAAATTATTACACATTCAGTTCACTTTGGCAGCAATGCAAGGCAACCTTAATTTCTCATCCAATTTTCAATCAAATTTAACCAAATTTTAATGATTTTGTCTTTGGACAGTATCCATTAGTGCCACAAATTTTCATATTTAATTTAATGTCTGATAGTTTTCGGGTTTTTGTGCTGACAGACAGACATGCAGACACATACAGACAGACACGCAGACACATACAGACAGACACGCAGCCACATACAGAAAGACACGCAGCCACAGGCAGACACACAGCCACGTACAGACAGACAGTCACATGCAGAAAGACAGACACATGCAGACAGACAGACACGTGCAGACAGACAGACATGTGACAGACAGACATGTACAGACAGAGACAGACATGGACAGACATGTACAGACAGACACATACAGACAGACATGTACAGACAGACACATACAGACAGACACATACATACAGACAGACATGTACAGACAGACACATACAGACAGACAGACAGACATGTACAGACAGAGACAGACATGGACAGACATGTACAGACAGACACATACAGACAGACATGTACAGACAGACACATACAGACAGACATGTACAGACAGACACATACAGACAGACACGTACAGACAGACAGACATGTACAGACAGACACATACAGACAGACACGTACAGACAGACAGACATGACAGACAGACACATATACAGACACAGACAGACATGGACCGACATGTACAGACAGACACATACAGACATGTACAGACAGACACATACAGACAGACACATACATACAGACAGACAGACATGTACAGACAGACAGACATGTACAGACAGACACGTACAGACAGACATGTACAGACAGACACGTACAGACAGACATGTACAGACAGACATGTACAGACAGACATGTACAGACAGACAGATAGTGCAGATGGACACAGCAGATGGACACATACAGACAGACAGGCAGGCACGGACAGACAGACACATACAGACAGACAGACAGACAGACAGACAGACAAACTCGTACAGACAGACAGACAAACAAACAAGAATGAAACAGAACTTTCTAGTGGAGGTAATAAAAAACTCGTACAGACAGACAGACAAACAAACAAGAATGAAACAGAACTTTCTAGTGGAGGTAATAAGCCAATTACAAACTCGTACAGACAGACAGACAAACAAACAAGAATGAAACAGAACTTTCTAGTGGAGGTAATAAGCCAATTCTAAACAATTAGTATAAACAACCATTAATTAATTAATTATTAATTATCATTTAATGTACTATTAGACTTGTAACTTTAATTCTTGTTAATACTTTCAGGGAAAACAAGCTCTTATCCTCAAGGATATACAAGTTTGTACCAAATGTATGAACAATTTTCTGTTTATAATATTATTATGACAAAAAACAGTATAGAAGTTTAATTAATAATTATTGTCTTAAATTTGAAGGTATCCAACCAAAGCCACCAAGAACTCATCATTGCAGTGTTTGTAATAAGTATGGTAAATTTCTGTTATCTTTTCAACTCTATTAATTTTCACTGATGATTTGCATGTATATAATGCAAAAATTCTAGTTTTTGCTTGCTATCTAATTATGTAATATCAGCACATTTATAATTTGTAGGTGTATTTTAAAAATGGATCATCATTGTCGTATCCTTAATATTATTTGAAATATGGTATATTAATTTTAGACAACCAGATATTACTTGGTATTGAACAAGTAACTGATAATTTAATCCTGACGATGGACGCTTAGTCCGAAAGCTTGATTTATATTTTACGCAACATACTACCACTACAATGAAACTTCCTGGTAACATAACCACACTAAATAAGTAACTGATAGTTTTAATTTGACTTTAAATAATAAAGAAATAAAATAATAAATGACAAGAAATCAGACCTTAAAATATCGGTCGGTCACGGACATTGTCCGACCCATTCGTGAAATTGTCCGACGTAGAAAGGAAACCACCGGACATAATTCTGTCCGACCAAGGTGAAACTGAGGTTTATTGTTTGTCCGACCCGAGTGTATTGGTGTCCGACCGAACTGTAGCTTTGTCCGACGTAAATCAAAATGTACCCTAGCCCAGGACTAGAGGCTTGTATGTTAAATGGAAAATCAGAGTAATTGTATAAAAGGTGAACTGGAAATGTTGTTTTAATTAACGTAGTCGAGCGTGGGGCGGCGAGCGAAATGGTGAAGTGGAAAACGGGCTTAAGTTGTCGAAGTCTTTTTTTAATACTGCTGTTCTGGAAAGCAAGTTAATTTTGGCTTGGAAATAAGTATGAAAGGAACAAATTATTTAATATCTTTACAACATTTACCATTTATTCATTTGTGTCATTCAAACTTATTTCCGAGTCAAAACTGAACTGAAGGTCATCGGACATATGTCCGACCCAAACACAACGTCACCGGACATTTTGTCAGACGGCCCTGGAAAAGATATTTTAAGGCCTGAGAGATCTACAGAAGCTCGAATGAAATCATTATGAACAAGTATCTGAATGAAAAGATGATAAATTTCTTCCAAACGTTATATTAAACAGCTTCTGCCCATACCGGCTTTGATTGCTGAAACCACAAATAACGTACAAGCCAGTCCAGCCACCTGTCCGTTATAATTTCCTTAATAATTCTTTTAGCGTGGATAAATAATTGTGTTGGACATTTCAACCATAGATATTTCTTCCTCTTTTGTGTATACATGTGTCTTGGGACGATTTATGTGTCCTTTACATTATTTCCTACGTTTCTTGATCGTATAGATTTTTTTGCCAAAAATGTAAGTATAAAAATATTTTTCAATTTCACAGTGTCCTGGTTTGCCCACTTAATTGCCCGTGATAATCTTCCATTCATTTTTAGATCTTGAAAGACTACTTTAACGTCGGCAACGCTCAGCCCACATTGGGACATAAAAAATATTTTTTAAGACCTAAAGTAAGTTGTACGTTCCAAGGGAAAATGAAATTGTCTACCTTTTGATCATTGACACTGTCACTGATCAGTTCTGTTGAAAGGGGTTTCCTAGAGGTCCATTCCTAGCTGCGAGAAACCTGACAACCTGTGGTCGAACCTATACTCTATAGACCCGAACAGGAACTGATCGGTCTTTTCATATGAGACTGAACTCTTCTCACAGCGAAGTGACTCGGAGACTGAAGGCGAAATTATAATAAGAAAAAAATTACATGCATTTTAAGTTGAATAGTTTTAGTCGAATAGTTTTACATGCATTTTAAGTTGTATAAGATGTTCATTATATAGGAGTTTTTTATATAAACATATAACATATTTCAATTTAGTAAAGATGTTTGAGGTGCGAAACCAGGATTATATTTATATTGAGTTTTTTTGGATGCTCTCTGACTCTGGTTTAAAATATATATTTATTACACAAGACTGCTTGTATTTAGGATTTGATTGTTGACGAAGACAAGGAAAGCGTTCCCAGTATTGTCGTATTTGAATTCATGTTATGTTCATGTGTGGCTGTGGCTGTTGGAGCACTGGCAGGCTGGCATGTTATGTTGATAAGCAGAGGGGAGACATCTGTAGAAGTTTATATTAACAGAAATACGAGAAAGAAACTAAAAAAACAAGGAAAAGTAGGTTTTGTCTTTCCATATTTCCTGCGAAAACCTTCATTTGCTTAATGTGTTGATTCAAAATATGGTTGTCTCTTTAAGTCTTTTCGCCCTTGAACTCCTAAGTTACTAGTAGGCGAATGATGTCAACAAAGGAAAAAGTCGTTTCGCGCGAACAAATTCGCCTACTGGAAATTAAAAGGCTACATTTTGATTTACAGTTGTTGACCAACTACACACGTAAAAACGCACAAGTTGTTACAGGTCTGCAAACAAATTGTTACAAATCTGTTCACAAGCTGCCGACAAGTTGTGCATGTTCGCACTGCTTGTTCCCAGTTGTTGCAACAAGTTTGAAACAAGCTGTTGACAACTTGTAGCAAGTTTGATCGCATTATCAGACTTGTTACAAGGTTGTTCTAACAAGTCTGATACAGTCAAGATATAACAAGAATGTTACAAGGTTGACGACACAAGGTTGTAACAATATTGTTATATCATACGACTGTATCGGACTTGTTGGAACAATCTTGCAACAAGTCTGATAATATCAACAAGGTTGTCACAAGTTGTTAACAGCTTGCTCCAAACTGTTGACAACTTGGGACAAGCAGTGCGAATACAACTTGTTGACGGCTTGTTGGCAGACTTGCTACAAGTTAATGTGAGATTTAATTTTTACGCGTGTACATGTCAAGCAAACGATGATTCCCCAGTGCGCAGCTGGTTTAGATAACATGGACCACACACGTGCACAATTGTGTATAATACACGCTTTCGATAATTACGTCATTAGGCCTGGGAGCCTCGCTCTCATGAATCGTGAGCCAATCACCTTGCGTAATTTACTAGTGAGAGCGAGGCTCCAAGACCAAAAAGTGTGTGTGACGTAATTATCGAAAGGGTGTATTATAAACACATGTATATTTATCATTATGTAGAAATTTCTCAATCCTTACAATTACGGGTTCATTGGCAACTGGAAGATGGTGCTAGGTCTCGGTCGTGGTAGGTATGTAAACTTAAAGTCACATACAGAGATCAGGAATTTTACATTCTTGTGATATTCAGTACATTCTGAGACGAAATGCAACATCAACTTGATGGTCTTTTTGGCTGTAAAGGTGCCGGAAGTGACGTTAAATATGGCGTTTTCAAAAGACGCGTTCTAAAATGATTGGCAATTCAAAAATATATGAAAGGTTTTTATCGCTCTACATCTCCATCCAGCCTTAGCCTTTACTTGGCTGGCTTTGGCAGGCTTGGTAAATTTTGGGCTAGCATGGTAAGTATGACGTCAAAAATATAAATATTCTATAGAATTTAGAAATAGAAGGCCTAGGTGTAGGCTGATCTCCACCCATTGTTATTTCCTTAGAGGACTATGGTCCATTGTCATGCCATCTTCCCATCCGCCAAATGGTGATGGTATCACGTGGCCTCAGCCGCTACAGAGCTCTGGGGAAAGTATTGGAACAGACAAACTAGCTGCATTTATGGCGTAAAATGAACATTAGGTAAAAATAACCAGGCTATTTTGTTTCACTGATGAAATACAATAGTTTGTTGTACAAATGTTGTACGATTAATCGCAGCAAGGTACATTTACACGCAACGATTAATCGGGCCGATTCTGCTTTAATTAAATGGTATTTGAAAAATACGCTGTCAACGTCATTAACATTCGGCGAAACCTGAAATCGGCCCGATAATCGTTGTGTGTAAACGTGCTTGTAGAATATTTGAATAGAAGTTTTCCCAATTTGCTTGAGTGCACATTAGACAATGGTATGAAATCGACTGGCAATCACACTGTTGGTTTCGTATGCGCTCAAGCAGATTCATGCAATCTTATAATTCTAGCAAATAGCAAATTATTCTCCATACAAATGAATAAGTTTTTAATGCCATGCTATAAAAAAATACAAATCAATTGTTACATGTCTGGCAAACATACTTTTAATTGAAATCCAAATTAATTAATTATGATGTCTATTTAACCAAAAATGGTAATTTATGTCTGTGGAGACTGATTCTAGATAACCTGCATTTTGTTCTTTTCCTATCTAAATCAACTTTGGAGAACAAGAATTTAAATTTAAGCTAGATTCTTCATTTTTGTATGTCCCAGGATTCTCTTAACCATAGACAGTGCCATTTCTGGTGCATCTGCTGGTACCATATGGCCAGCCTTCAGAACAATATAAAAATGGAAATTTTCATATTCTTTGACAAATGCACCAGTATTTTTAGCCTGTTCTTGAGATGGAGCATAGAGGGGGACCTTTGGCATCTGGGAATACGCTTTAAGTCCAGTCCAAGCAAGTTTGTCAATCCATATTTCGGCACCTATGGTATCACATATGATATCAAGCTGACCCTCGTAGACAACCACCATCAAACCAGTATTTACTAGCTGCGAAACATCCTTAATAGTTGGTTTCATGAAATCAATGCGTTGCTTTTCAAATACCTCTGCAGACTGTCCACCCCATGTGACATCATCAGGTATAATTCCAAGCTTTTTTCTGATTGGTCCATTCATGAAATCTGAAAGGCTTTGTTGTTGCAGTCTTGCAACGTTTTGCCAGTACAGTCGACCAAGTTTTTTATTTTTGAAAGGTTCTTCCACATTATGTTGCAAGGCATTGTAAATGTTTACATTATCAGTTCTGTCTGCAATGGCATTTTCTACTTCATCCCAAAGTGTCGTAGACTTGTCATAGTCCCCAGAATAAAATGCTTGTGCAGTTTGGTTTGCTAGATTGTTAACATATGCCAATTCTGTCTGATCTAAGAGGGAGAACGAATACAAATACGGCCCCCAGGTTAACACAGTATCAACCGGAGATATCCAAGAATCACCCAAAGCAACGCCCACAAAGTTAACCTGGATCTCTCCTTTGTGAATAGCCTCATAAAGTGCAACCCCAAATGCAGAGGTCATTTTCCCACCATATGATTCACAGAAAATGTAAAATGGGATTTTCTTAAAAACTGGCAATTCGTCCAAAAAGGATTTGAGCATTGTTAACAGATCAGCAGCAATACCTGTATATAGTGAAAAAATCAAAATAGGTAATCTATTGGTCCATATTATGCAGCATCATTGCTAATAAGACATTCTGAATCTTTTAACCAGCACGCCTACAGTACATATTTGACCCATATTTAAACCTGGTGTGAGAATTAACAGTTTGAAGCAATAGCACCATGCTGTCCACTAAAATGGAAGTAATTTTCAGTATAAACTGAGTGGCAAGTTCAGGCCTCAGAATTAGCAAAAATTACATGGCACAACTGGGTAATGCCCCTAATAGCAACACCCCAGCAGAAGAGAGCCAGGATATCGGCTAGTGTAAATGAATAATTTCGAAAGTAAAACTCTGACCAGGTAACTTGGCAAGTTGAAATCAAATGCACATGCCTAATGCCTGGGATATGAAATTGAGTAAATACATCATAAATTTTTGTGGTCAAATCTGATTTGCTTTGCTCCATATAAGCAGGTCTGACTGTGACTGTCCCTTTTTGGCCCACCATGAGTGTTTCTTTGGGAAGCGGGGCAATGCTATGGTCATGAGAGTTCTGACCAAATGGAACCCAGGCTGTATATAACCACCAGGAAACAAGATGTATAACCACCGTGCAGTGAATCTGACAGGGGGGGTCAACCTCAAATGTATTGATGCTTATGCTGTATTGGGGTGAGAAAATGATCCGAAATTATCTATTTGGCACCAAACACAAGGCTATACATAAAACAAACAATCAACTCACTTTGATAACTGTGTTTTGTTTTAGAGTTGACCACCCCCCCCGTCACTTATGTGATACCATATTAAACCCAAGAATACCAACCTGTAACATTGGTAGTATAAGCACTGTCATCAGTAACATAGCTAAACCCTGATCCCACGGGGTTATCAACAAACAAAACATTTGCAGCTTTTAACCAAGTATATTCTCTCTTATTGCCATTTATATCCTCCGGACCAAGCTCTTCAAAATTCCCAAATCCTGTTCCGGAAGCGCCTGGCCCTCCTTGAATCCACAACACCAATGGTTTTGAAACACGCTCATCGGGGTTTGCCGTCTGAGCGCCATACAGCCACCAAAACATAAAGGCATCTTTACGCACGTTCACATAAGACCATTTCTCGTCCGGTATTTGTTGAGTGTAGACTACGGTATAAAGTGTGCAAAGTACGAAAATCAATGTTGAAAACATTGTTCGCTGTGTTCCTGGCGAACTGTCAAGTATTTTGAGGTCATATGATTTGAATTGAAATACAGGATATTTTACCCCGGTGATTTTTTGCCGATATTCAACACCACTCCAGCCTCCGGGTATCAAAGGTAAAAACAGTACGAGATACTAAACTGGTAGTTTGTGTTCTCTTTTTATCTGGCAGTGGTACGGAGTGATCATAGGCGTACGGGAGGGAAAATTAGTGGGGGGGGGGGCGGACAAAAAGATCTGCCCGACGTGTATCGGTAGATCCGGGGAAAAGGGATCCAGGGGAAAAGCCTGATCACAGTCTTCTGGCAAAAATGCAACTTACCACCAAAACCATGCTATGTCGATTTCATAAACGGTATTGTGAAGAATATACTAGACTTGGTCCCTACTTTTCTCTCATATTTTCACGCCTTTTTTTCACCGCTCGCATGCATCGCTATTTTCAACCCCTTGAAAGACACTTGAACCAAGTCTAAGATGTTTTCTTGTATGTGTGACTAACAAGTGCAGTGGACTGGAACACAGGCTATGCAAGCGTTAGTATGGTTTAAATGAACCAAATTTTGATCCCTAATGAACAAAATTTTGATCTAGACGAGTCTAGACAAAAATTTCATCACAGCTTGAAAGAGCATCACAGAATTAGTAATATGCCGAAGTTTCGTTGCGAAATGTTGTAAAATGCGGATAATATAGCCTTGCGAAGTTTGCTGTTTTTCAGTCATTTTGTATTACGCACGGGAGTTCGATTGATACCTTTTTTCAGAAAGCGGTATCAATTTCCCGTGCGTAATACAAAATGACTGAAAACCGGCAAAATTCCCAAGGCTATATTATCCGCATTTTACAACATATTTTCGCAACGAAACTTCGGAATATTACTAATTCTGTGATGCTCTTTCAAGCTGTAGTGAAACTTTTTTCTAGAATTGTCTAGACCAAAATTTTGTTCATTAGGGAATAGGTCCATTCTTTAGCTCTCGATTCGAACAGGTTATTGGGTTTAATAGGGTTGTTGTCAAATCGAACACATTTGCTCTCGATCATGTAACGCACTGAGCACTCTACTGCTTATGTCAACATGGTCAAAACAGTTATAGTTGGTAGAAGTAGGATAATTTATATCCGGATAATTTATATTACAGGTTTGCGTGACGTTAGCTTATCTTACAGTAAAATTAGGGCTTACGTAATATTGCGTACTCACACTCCCCACAGGAAACTACACCTAAAATTAGGGCTTACGTAATATTGCGTACTCACACTCCCCACAGGAAACTACACCCAAATCATCAGGGACTCTGTAGCTCAGTTGGTTAGAGTGCTGCCTAGAGGGCATAAAGTTGCATTTTTCGCAGAATGTTCTCATCAAGATGTTTCACAAGCCATTTATCCAGTACAACACGGCTGTTCATGTTGTAAATAATTCATGAGGAATAGACAAAGGAAATCACTACCGTGTTTATTAGACATAAGTTTTGAACATTTAGAAAAACGAAGATCCACACAGTTTAAATCTCTGTAAACATTTTTTGACTAAGATAAAACTATAACAACAGTCAACACATTTTCAGATTTTAATAACCCATCATTAATCATATGTGAAATTCGGGTAAGTCGACAACAAGCCTCCTACCATTTCTTTTGAAAAGTTCGTTGATCTGCCAAATATCATACCAAGTAATATCCCAGCAGTGGTGTAGCTCGAGGCGTTTTAAAATAGGACAAGTTTCTTCGATCGCATGGATTGTTTTAGCAGTGATATTATCATAACACGACAACACCAGCTTTTCAAGTTGAGTCCCAGAAGAACTTTGAAGAATCCTTATTAAAAATTTTTCCTCAATGGGAACGGACTTAAGAAAGAGTTGAAGAAGGTTGGGATGAGATGTCAACAGTTGGCACAGAATTTCTTGCTTTTGGTGGAGCGAGATGTCTTTAAATTGAATTCTTTCAAGATGGATATACTGCAACGAGCAGAAGTCACTGAACATGGCAATATTGCACCCAGTATTGGCTTTACAATCTTCCTTTGGCGATGTCTCCAAGCTTGGAAGGAAAGGTTGGACCAGTTCACAATCATACAGAACTAACTGTTTAAGTGATTTACAGTGAAGGCATACCAGCAATAACCTTAATTCCATTGGACCAGCCAGATTAAGTGTTTCAAGTTGGTGACCAATGTGCTGAAGAAAAGATTCAATGCGTTCGAACGGGAATGGTTGAGGACGTGGTCCAGAATTTGGAATGTAATCTACGCTGATGTGAAGTAATTTTAATTGTGAAAGATTCTTCAAGCTTTCGGAGAAAGTTTCAGTATGAACGTTTGTGTAGAAAGGTATAGTTAATTTGAGTTTAATAAGATTAGGGCAACTTTCAAGAACTAGTTTCAGCTGATTTAATCCTGTACATGTGCCTGACATATCCAAGTACTGAAGTGGTAATTGGCCAATTTTAACTTTCATAAACATGGTGCGATCGGCAACAGATTTTCCAGAACCTCTTATTCTAGCAAACGATAACGAAAGTAGCAGTGGTAGGCTATTCAACAACATCCATAAGCTTTTCGTGGTAACAGAGGTTGATGATACATTCAAATATGCAATCTTCAATGGTTCTACAGAGCCGTCAGCTGGCTTGAGCAGAGCATCAATTCCGTGATCAGTGATTTGGCTACACCACTCGAGGCTTAAGTCCTTTAAGTTAGGGCAGTTTTTGGCAAGGTTTTTCAGAACAGAATCCGAACATCCACGACAGCGTGATAAATTTATACACGTGAGACATGTTAGATTCTGTATTGTCTTATTTAAGCTACTGGATGATACTTCGAGACCACAAAGATTCAAACTGACAAGTTTCTAGACAAAGGGAAAAAAATCCTGTTCAAATATCATACTGAGCAATATGACACTGCAGAACAGCAATGACACGAGTCATCTACAACAGGAAAATGCCAAGAAATCTGAAATGAAAAATGACTTGAAGACTGATCGCTGGACGATACAGGGAAAAGAAATACGTAGACCTGATAATGATGGAGATGCGAATGTTGAGATGGATTCAAGACGTTTTTCTGAAGGATAAGATGAGGAATAAAGAAATCAGAAGATGTGGGGTAGACATTGTGAAGGTGCACTCTAAAAACAATACCATTCTAGTAGGAAAGAAGTTAATTTAACCAGGAATATTAAGCCCAAATAGGTTTATTTCTAGGATAACCAGGAGATATTAACCAGAGTGAAGAAGAACTGGTTAGAGACATTATGGAGTAAAGAGATCAAGAGATTTTGCTAAGGTGGTAGGTATTCTACAGAGAAGATGAGAGAGTCAAGACTGAGATGTATGGACATGTGATAATTACTGAGTGATGATGCAGAGTGTGGATCAGAGAGAATATGTTGATATGGGCTGAGGAGCATAGAGATTATAAATACCAACACCAGAGGAGGCATCACAATCTTGACATCAAGCAAAAAAAAAGGAATGTGGCTATTGGAGGCCAAATTTAAGTCCCAGATGTGTACTCATGTTCTCATTGGTGAGGAGTTCGAGCATGATTTTATATCCGGGACCTAAATTTGCCCCCCCCCCCCCATTAGCCGTGTTCCCAAATTTTAACCTCGATGCCTCCTCTAGTGTTATTTATAATCTCTATGTTGAGGAGGACAATTGTCTGGTCTTTTAATAGACAGAATAAAATTACAAAATTAGTTATCTGAGCTCTTTATATAGAAGCATAAATTTTAACAAACCTTGCATGGCAGTTGTAGCAATATTTGATCAGAGATCAATCGTTGGTTCACATATCTACTTAAATCCAATTTTAAAACATCCTTATGAATGAGACAAGCAAAATATTCTGGTGACAACATATTCTTGGAAAAGGCAAGATCCAAAATTTCTTGTATGGTGCTGTCACCTACAGAACAATGTGATCATTAGTATTGGAGAGCTTTAGATTTGACTACGAGTGTGGCTACCTCCTCTGACCAAGATGAATTCCCGGGGAATTATTCCCCAATTTTATAAGGCAGAGTATGCCCATTTGCAGGTTGGAAATTGAAATTTGAGACTTTTGTTGAATCTCGACCAATTTTTAGAAAAGTGTGCAGAGGATTTACTTGTGAGTGTGACCAGCAGTATACAGTATATAAGATCATTTGGGAGCTAACTGGCAAGCATTTTGCAAAGTATTGGGGTAGGGTACAGTTTGGAAAGGGTTTAGCCATTTAGGGTTAGGATCCTGTTAGGTTTTGCATGGATCTAATATAATTTTTCTGTGTTGGTGTTATGTACTAGGGATGAGTCGATACCAGAAAAAAGCCGATTCGCCGATCCGATATATCGGAGTCGATATAAAAAATAATCGGCCGATTAATCGGCTATGGCCGATATTTCTGTGTACCGGGGTACAAGCGCCGGATAACGGTTTTTTGACAACTTTTAATACTTGTGTATACGCCACAAATTGACGTACTAGTTTTAGTGTGTTCCGGAAAATATTTACTCATATTGGACAGTTATCGGTCACTGTACGAGTCAAATGAGTTAATGGATATGGGATTAAATACGCACAACAAAAGTGTCAAAAACAAGACGGAGTGTAGATTACTAGATTATAGAGTTATTTTTCTTAAGAAAATGAAAAAATTGTGAATATCGGCAAATAGCCGATTATAAAAAATAATCGGCCGATTACCAATTATATTTTTGAAAACGCCAAATATCGGCCGATTTATGGGCCGTACCGATTAATCGGCTCATCCCTATTATGTACTCAGGTGAATATGTTTGTGATGTTACTCTGAGTGTATATCCACACCAGGCAAGCTCGAAAAATATGCCTGGCCATGGTGGGAATCGAACCTACGACCTTTGGAATACTAGCATACTCGAATATCACATACTCGACCTGACTGCGGCAGAGCATTGGACTAGTATTCCAAAGGTCGTAGGGTCGATTCCCACCATGCCCAGGCATATGGATCTAATATGATAATAACAATACTGTCCAATGATATATCTCTCTTCCACGCAGGTGTTTGCAGCTTTAGTTTTAGTTTATTAATCCACTTCTACAGTAATTTAACAAGTCAGGGCTGTTGCCCGGAAAAAGTAAGGCATTCAGGTAATTGGTGAACACGACCCTTAATTTCCCAATGTGTATCACATGCTTCCTCTCGTGTAGTCCAGGCCATGTGGACTACCTCTCTTCGCTGTAAAAAATGTGTAAGCCTCTGGAGGAGGGTGGGATGATATCATAAATCCATTAAATTGTTTTAATGCAGACAAAAAGATCAGCTACATTAAGTTTAAACTAGCAAACCCGAATGCCGAACGCGCACTGTGACTGTGAGATCACCCTTTTACCGGCACGCGCGAGGGCGGGCGGAGGTCACACGGAGTCAAATTGACTTCCTTGATAAAATACTCACTTAACTGAGAGAATGCAAAATCAGGATATATGAAACCATCATTCAGTCTTACATCTTTACAACGCAATTCAATATTTTCTGCTATAGCTTCTAGACATCGTTTTGCTAGTGAAAAAAAATTTTCCGCCATGTTTTCCGCTCAAATAACACGTGTTATTTATAATCCTATGCTTTTCTTCTCTATCATGGGATAAAGGGGATACTGCGGGATAAAGCGGTACTTCAAGCAATAAAATAACAAATTATCAAAATAAGAAAACCACTTTTCACATTTTAAAATATTTTTAACTTTATTTTCATGGAAATTTCTAGTTTGGCAAGACTTTGTCTTGAGTCTGTTGCAGCTAATATGGCAACGTGGTGTCATAGTGTTTTGAAAGAGGATTTTTATAAGTATTTATATGTCATTGGACCTTTCAATGACTTGAGTAAGTTATCTTGAGTAAATATGGAAATTATAAGTAGTAACCAATAATGGTAAGATTATTGGGTCCAATTTTCCATGAAAGATTTCATGTTTATGTCTTCTATTTATGGCATCACAAATTGTAACATTGTTTCTGTTATCATGTAGATTCAACACTAATTCAAGAACTTCTGAATATATCTTATGACAAGCAGTTGCTGAAGGCCTCATATTTCCCCTTACTCTTTCACGAGAACTTTACAAAATTAGACCTCAGCAGATGTCATTCCATGATCACTGACCAGGTTCTGAAGCATGTAGGGCTTCGTTGTAAGGTACAGTAATTCTAGCTAATTAAGGGAACATTTTGATGCAACTCTCTATAAAAGTTTTATTTGTTTAAAATGTGCAATTCTAATAGTCAAAAATCTCACTTTTACGTGCATTTCTTTTTATGAAATGCACTTGAAACAATGCTACTACATTGCCTATACTAATAACATGCTAATTTCCTGCAGTGAGTATATATATTAATTTAGAAGTTTGAAAGAAGTGGCTTTTTATGTAAATATTAGGTAGCAGTAAGGGGTCACGTCCATATTCATATTGCCACGCATAACGTCGAATCGACGTTATGAGTGGGTGGGTAGGTTTATCTCAATTCTCTCGACGTTATCTCGATAATTTTGTGGCAAAATGACAATTTTGTGAAAGTTTTGAAGAATGTGACTGCCACGCTCGACGTTATTTAGGGTGGGTGGGTTTGAGTGTTAACGTCGATTCGACGTTATGCGTGACAACATGAATATGGACGTGACCCCTAAAGCATGAGCAGTCAATGACTGTATGGAATTTAGAAGCACACGCCAAAGGCAAGTGGATGTATGGTTGTTCTTGTTTATTGACTATTGTAAAGATATCAGCTGACTTGTTAGCTGAATGAAAAATATGTCTGAATGAAACTGAGAATATATTATTTTGTTATATAGTTGGTGTCAAAGTTCAATTTTTCTGTTTGCTGATTGGTCAAAACCGTATCACGTGCCGGCCCACAAAACGTCATGTTCGGCAACCGATCCGCAATTAAACATTTATTGACCGGTCAATAATAAAATGGGTGCAATACGCATGCATGTTAATGCAGTTCCAAAGTTCATTTTTAAACTTTTTACTAAACATTTACGGCGTTCCATTTATCCAGTTTTGGTTTCAAATTAAGTTCACTCCAATAACCGGTTAAATTATTTATACTTTGACACTTATATACTATATAACAAAAGGCGGTCTCGGGTCCACAAAACACACTGTTTTCCTTGGTCTCAGTAAATAAGTGATAAATGTTAATCGATTAAGATGCAATCTGTATATGCACTGATTTACAGACATTGATTAAATATTCCTGATTTCTAATTTTAAATTTCAATGAATTATTAGTAAGTTTGCATAGTCAGTTTAGTTAGATTGGCTGCTTCTCAGCTAAACATCCGTAAACATATAACTGAAATATTTTCATGTTTGACCATCAGAGGCTGACACACCTAAACCTAAACGGCTGCTCCCGGTTGTCGAATTCTTGCTTTAATGAAACCTTACCAACTTTACAATCCCTAAGAAGTTTGCAATTATCAAATTGCCGAGGCTGCTCGGATCAGTTGTTGCACAACCTTGGGAAACATTGTCGTAACCTACAAGAATTGGTTGTTAACTTGTGTCCAAAGGTTACAGATGTTGGAATCAAGGCCCTTTTTACACAAGATAACCCTGATGAAGTTGGTTGCTTTGATATTATACATTTGGACGTATCTGCAACTTCTGTTACAACAAAAAGTTTGGAGATAATACTTTTAGGACTTCCAAAACTTAGAAAATTTTGCTTTTCTGATCTCTCTGGAGAAAATCATCTTGGATTGGTTGGCATGCCTTCATTGAACATTGAACATTTGGATCTTTTTGGTACCTTCCTCATAGATTCAGATCTAAAACTCCTTATTGAGAATTGTCCAAAGCTCGTTGTACTAAGGCTGAACTTGAGTATAATTTTGAGTAAGATAGTGGCAAATCAGTTGCCTGTTTTAACACATTTAAAATCGCTTGACCTCGGTGGGGCGTCCGACGGAATTCTCTTTGAAGATGTTGAAAAATTCCTCAAAAAACGAGGTGGTCAATTGGAATCTTTAAACCTCTCTGAAATGCACAATGTTCGTATATCTGTCTTATGCATGTACTGTAAATCACTTAAGGAACTGATCTTGGCACACTGTGAAAATGTGGATCCAATGCTTCCGGCGTTAGATGATTTAACCAAAGAACAGAGGGATAATTTACCACACTGTGGCAGCCGCCTTAGTGATTTTTGTCCTCAACTATTTTGTATCAATCTTAATTTTACCACGTTTCGTGATGATCGCCACCAACCAGAGTTACACCCAATTTCGGCATCTGGTATTCTCAGCGACCATCCCAACCTCGCGAGACTTTCATTGAAGGACGTGGACATTAATGATGAAATTTTAGAGCAAGTTTGTAAAAGTTCATCGAGTTTGGCTTTGAGAACTCTTGACTTGACAAACTGTAATGCTATAACAGTAGAGTCTGTTGGCAGTATCGTTGAAAATTGTCGCAACTTACGCTTGCTAGATTTATCTCATTGCAAGCAGGTTGATTTAGCCTCTGTTTCACAGATAAAGAAGAATTTGAAGAGAACTCGTCGTAATCTACTTCAAATCGTTTGGGTTTAAAAGTATGTTTACAAATTGCGATTTGTTGGACTGATTTTAGAGAACTCTAATGACGCAATCGTCATTCAACCCGTCTTTACGGGCAGTTGGGCACCTCTCTAATTCCATACCTGCATATGTCTCCTGGGTGTGTGAAGCCAAGATGAAGTGAAAAAACCAAACTGAAAAATTCATCTTGGTAGGAATCAATTTTCAGAAAAGCGTTCCCCGCAAAGTCAAAACTCAGAACCGCAAAATCAGCTGTATAGAAAGAAGCGTTATTTAAGAAAGGAGCATAAACACATCCTTTGAATTCTTCGCACTTACATGTTGAGGTTTTGCGTTTGTGAGTTTTGCAGCATGAGCTCCACCTTTGAATTTACTATATGAGTAAATTCTTAAACACGTCCGAATTTATCATTATGATAAATTCGCGGCAAATTTTGAATTTATCATAATAATAAATTCGCGGCACCTAACACTAACCCTAACCCCAACCCCTAACCACTAACCCCTAACCCTAACCACTAACCCCTAACTTTTTAAATTTTTTTAACTTTTTTAAAAATCTAACTTTTTAAACTTTTTTTGCTTTTCAAAACTCTTTTAAAACTTTTTAAAACTTTTTTAAAAACTATTTTTTAAAAAACATGAAAAACTTCCCACCCCCTGGCGACCAGCCTCGCTTTTAATGCCATTACATTTATAACAAGAAACCTTGTGCAATGATTGTGGTTTTATGATTAACTCTATTGATAAATTCAAAATGTGCCGCGAATTTATCATAATGATAAATTCGGACGTGTTTAAGAATTTACTCATATAGTAAATTCAAAGGTGGAGCTCATGTTGGAGTTTTGACCTTCAGGCGAGACTTTTTTTATTTATTGGTTTACGGATTTGACTTTAAAAATAAGAGGTCGGTAGGTCGGAAAAAAATTTAAAAAAAAAACGAACTGAGTATAAATGAGAACCGAAATTAATAATCTTTATAAAATTTTTTAACGTCAATTTCAAAAAAACGCAAAAAACGTGGCTAATCTACATATTGATTGTCACAACGATAACATGAGCCAGCAGTACCTAGAGTCAAAGTTCACTTGAAGTGTACTTCATGTCAGAACCCCAAATTAATTAAAATTAACTAAAATTGTAAAATTTTTGACATTTTTTTATTTTTATTTTTCACTTTCTGAATATTTACGGTAGGCGGATCCGTAAACCAATGAATAAAAAAAGTCTCGCCTCAGAGGAGGACCTTGGTTGAATTTGTTGTATATTTTATTTTCAAAAACCTTTAAAAAACGGACACTTACCAAGTTTCCAGCGGAGGTAGCTGCGTAGCAGACGGTTTTTTGGGGGAGGACTTGCGTAGTTCTCCCGCTCTAAATTTCCAAACCGTCTGCTGGGCAGGCTGCAGCGGAGGAGGCTGCATTTTGCTGCTTTGTCCCTTCACTGTCTGGTACTAGAGATGTTCCATTCACTAAGTTATATTCCACGCTCTCAGAAATAGAGAAAAACCTCTGGCACACCAGCCAGCAAATCGCATTCTGTCAAGGAATCTAATTAGGAGTAAAGAACTAATGAGAATCAACTGCAATGGGATTTGAGCAATTTTAGGCGAATTTTTAAAATTTAATTGTACTTCGAATTAATTGTAATTGTACATTAATTTTACTAAATATAAAAATATAATGAATTTTAATCTTGGATGTATTTTCTTGGTTGGAGAGTTTATTTTTCTCAGGTAGGTCGAACCATATGGTCGAACTGAACTGCGCCGGGAAAGGATTAAGACACTTGGCCACTCGTCCACGTTTCAAGTGGAGTCACATTTTCCGGAGGTTGGTATCGAAGCCACTTAAAATGTCATGGTCTTATTAATTATTTTAGGTTGCTCAGACAGGTAGTTCCGACAACCTGCAAACACAACCGGCGCAAGCGCCAGTCAAGTTGAACCAATTTATATGCAGATAAAAGAATTTCAAATTGAGATTGGCTTTTGTTTTGCTGTATAACCACCGTCACAATTTATTTTTGTGTTACGTTATAATTCGTCTGGAGTTGTTCCGGGCAAATAAACTAGCTCTTGAATGACATATTATGGTAGCACAGTCTTGTCTAACATGGAATTTTCCGTGTAACCATTGACATATGATGTCAAATTCCGACCCCTTATTGGTTTACACACGTAAATATTACATAAATTAATTCGCAAGGCCAAGTACGTTGTCAAATATTTGTCTTGCTGATTCATTTCAAAGAAAGGTTTAGCCCGAGTTTGGTGCTGATTTGGTCGAAAACTTTTGCACTTTTTCGGCTACATGTCTATGTACATATGAAGGTACCGTATATCTACATTTTTTGTTCATTGTTAATTACAGGTTACGATATTTGTGGGAAATTTGATTACGGTTAAACAACCCATATATTTAACCGGAATATTATCAAGAACACAAGCTGTCAGACAGTGTCAAATTTTGCCATGCAATTCTCAACCGAACAGTCGTCATTATTTCGCAATCTATCTCAAGTTTAGTCAGTTTAGTATCAATGAATGATCTAAGTATTTTATAACCCAGCTGAAGGCTGAAGTCTAATGAGTGAAGTGTTTTAACATGATTTATCACAACAGTATGTGGTAAATTATACCAAAAACCATGTCGAATTATTCGCATTTCTTACTGCAGGACATGGTGTTAGGGCTGGGAGCAGGCTAACATGGTGTATGATAGATACAGAAGCTATAGATTTCGCCAATGGCGGAGTACGAAATCTATTATATATTTATTCTGTGACGAGTCGATATTTGACGTATCTTTTAATTAATATAGCTAGCCAACGTTGTGTTTTGTGGGCGTGTATTGGCGTGTATATACTCGACAAAAACACTCGATATACATGTTGATATTGTCGAGTTCTTGGGTTGTGACACGCGTTCATTTGCACAAAGGCTTAATTAAAACCGCTAAACTTTCTTTGACTTTGTGTATTCATGTATTCGAAATATTTCAAATGAGAGCAAAGAAACTTATCTATTAACGTACAAGTGACCAAGTATCTCGCCTAAGAGTTGAACTCATTGATATGTAGAATCGTTTTGAGTACAAAGGCCTGTTTTCGCCGTCAGCGTGCACTGTCCTCTGGAGCGTTTTATCATTTTTCGGGTGGAACTAGCAACTTCGACACAGGAGAAAATTCTACTGTATATTACGATACGGTTAAAATAGAAAACAGAGCTCGAGTAAGATAGTATGGCGGCGCATTGACAAACATCCAATGTTTTGAAACATGTTCGTTTACAAGGCGTTGGTGCTGAAAGTGTATTCAGGTAAAAGTGTCACGTCACCTGAGCTATCTACTTGATCAAGTACGTCAGCTACGACATCAGGGCTAGGACGTCCTAAATAAAAAAAACATCCACTTAAGATTCACGACGTCGACCTTTAAATCATAAATATTTACATCTTTTTGAAATTGAATTTTAAAGAGACACGTGAATTCATTACCGTTTGTTATGCTCTTGTATCGACGACGGCAAAACTCTTTGTTGTGAAGTTGTCGACGTTTGGTGGACGACGAGGAATTGAGAGAGACGCATGGGTACGTCAAAAAAGATTGGCAATTTACGACGCGGTCTGAATTTCAGCTCAAGAACGAGCGCTAAGCAATTTGATTACTGTAATAAATGTTTGAAGCTTTTTCAAATGATCTTGAAAACGGCTAAATTCGACTAAAGCGATGCAATGTTTGCCGTAATTTCGACTTTAAGTTAAGCCTGGTTCACATTGATCGTAAACATCGGCGATGCCCATTGTCGGTGGTCATTGATGCATAAAATGTTTTGTGCATTTTCTTCTTCGTTGCTCACATAACAAATGCCATATCCATGCTTGGGCAACAGATCAAGAAGGAACTACCTACAACGAATCTTGCTATTTCCGAAGTAATTACAAGAAATGATGACCCAAGTCTGAATACGAAAATTACAGAACTTAATACTAAGCTATCCCAGGTATGTACCAATAATAAGTGGAAGATCATTACCCACAGAAATATTTCCTCTGAACATTTGAACCCATATGGGCTCCATCTTTCTAAACAAGGAACAGCTAAATTAGGCCAGAACTTTACAAACTATCTAAAAAATCCTAATTGACCATTTACCGATGCTCCACCCCCTCCACAACCTGTTACCAATACAATAAGGCCAGTAAAGCAACCAAACCCTATTCTTCCTAAACTTAAAGGTTTCAAAGTAGCACAACTTAACATCGCTAGCTTGCCTAAACACTATGAAGAACTACTTATTTATATGCGTGATGAACCTTTCGATATATTGACCTTAAATGAAACTAGATTAGACAGTACTTTCCTAGACTGTGAAGTACAGATACCTGGTTATGATATTGTCAGATCTGACCGAAACAGACATGGGGGAGGGGTAGCTATATATATAAGGACTATCATTCCATATATCGTACGTGAAGATTTATTACAAGATACTCTCGAATTGCTTTGTATTGAAGTTAGAAAACCTAAAAGTAAACCAGTGCTTATTTCAACTTGGTATCGACCACCGAGTGCAAAAATTGAATTATTCCAAAAGTTCGAAAACTTCTTGAAGCAGATTGATAATGAAGACAAAGATATTATCATAACCGGGGATCTTAATTGTAATTTTATTGAGCACACTCAAAACCAAGCTACTTCTAAGTTAATTGATATTATTGATATTTTCCAACTGCAGCAACACATACAAACCCCCACTAGAACTACTTATAATTCTTCGTCTCTGATTGATTTAATTCTTACACATATCGACGATGATAAAACCTTAGAAGCCGGGGTTGTTGACCTTGGGATTAGTGACCATAGTCTTGTTTATATATGTCGGAAAATTAGCATTCCTAAAGAGCCACCAAAAATTGTATTTACACGACAGTTCAAAAATTACAACTCCCACCAATTTAAAGAAGAGCTAAGCTACTATACTAATCTGGATCCCACATCGAATGATCCAAATGTGCTATGGAATGAATTTAAGAACAACTTTCTTACTATTGCTGAAAAACACGCGCCAGTTAGACAGCGTCGCGTTAAGAGTGAGCATAAACCATGGCTGACGAAAGAAATAAAGCGTTTAATGCATCATAGGGATTATCTTAAAAGACAGAGTGTTCGTTTAACATCGAGTAATTATAACGAGGCCTACAAAAGATGCAAGAATAAATTAAATAAGCTTATTAAAAAGACTAAGGAAGAATACTTTAAAACGAAGTTATCTAATGCAAATAATAGCAAAGAGAGTTGGCAGGCTATTAATGAGCTATTAAACTACCCATGTAACACAGCTAAATGTAGATGACCAAGTTATAACTGGAGACACAAATATTGCGGACTGTTTTAATCAGTATTTTTCATCCATCGGTTGTAAACTGTCGAAAAATGTCCAAAATATTAATGTTGACCCTATGACATTTGTCACTCCTACGGAGAGTTCGTTTCATTTTTCATGTATTTCAGTCCAAGAGACTTTTGACGCCTTAAACCAACTTAATTCAAGGAAATCACCAGGACTGGACGGCATAAGTGTAAAACTATTAAAAGATACAAGCGATGTTATCGCGCAACCATTAGCCAACATCTTTAATCTATCTCTTCAGACTGCAATTTTTCCGGACGAGTGGAAAATCGCCAAGGTATCACCAGTCTTTAAAGAAGGGAATAAAACTGATTGCGGAAATTATAGACCAATCTCTGTAATTTCTGTGGTTGCTAAGCTGTTTGAAGGGCTAGTGTACAATCAATTGAGAACGTTTATTGCTGACAATAGGATTCTTGTAGAGCAACAGTCCGGTTTTCGTTCACAGCACTCTACTGAGACGGCACTCTTAGGTTCGACAAATGAGTGGTTATATAACATGGACAGTGGCTTAATCAATGGAGTCCTGTTCTTGGACTTGAAAAAAGCTTTTGACACTGTCGACCATGAAATCTTATTAAAGAAACTTCACCTATACGGCATAAAAGGAACTACTTACGCATGGTTTGAATCTTACATCCAAAATAGGAAATCGATTTGTTTAATGAATGGGAAAAAATCACATGCTAGAGAAATTAGGTGTGGGGTACCACAAGGTTCTAACCTTGGCCCCATCCTATTCCTCTTGTATATTAACGATCTACCTAAGTGTCTAGAAACAACCAAGGCTAACTTGTTTGCTGATGACACCAATCTTTCGTGTGCCGGCTTAGATGCCAATGAAATCGAGACTAAACTTAAAAGAGATCTTGAGAATGTTCATAGTTGGCTTAGATGTAACAAGCTCACGCTAAACGATAGCAAAACGGAATTTATGATAATTGGCTCTAAACATCATCTTACTAAATTTGAGGACAACCCAGAGATTTCATTAGCCATACGAGATAATAATACTAAACGGGTCACCAATAAAAAATCTCTTGGTTTTATCATCGACGATTAATTAAAGTGGGGTATACACATTGACGCACAATGTAAAAAAATCTCAAAAAATATTGCATTACTAAGAAGAGCCAAGTCCTTCGTTCCTTTACACATTCTAATCAAAATGTATAATGCTCTAGTATCTCCTCACCTGACATATTGCTCAACAATATGGAACGATGGATCTAATACCATTCTTAACAAACTCTCTAAGTTACAAAGAAGAGCAGCTCGGGTTATCACAGGACAATCATACGATGTTCGTTCCACTCAAATACTAGAAAGTCTCAATTGGATGCCAATTGAAGACATTTTAAAGAAAAGAGAAATCATTATGACGTTTAAAGCTTTAACTAACAGACTACCTGATTATGTGCAGAATTTCTTCACGAGATGCGAAAATAGTAATTATTCTCTAAGAAGCAATAATGTTAAACTATCTTTGCCTAAACCAAGAACCAACTTTCTTAAAAGAAGTTTCTCTTATAGAGCAGCACAAGGGTGGAACGAATTATCGGATGAAGTAACTAATAACATTCAGGATTTATCTTTACCAAATTTCAAAAGGCGTTTAGCCCTTAACCTTGCACATGAATAATGTATAATGCATTTCCGAAATTAATGGAGTGTGTAATAATTATGTGCTGTAATTAACTGTAAATATCCATAGTTAATGTGTGTTTAATACTATATAGCACGGCCCTTTGAAAAACAGACTGTATATATTATACTGAATAGGCTACCGTGTTAAAAGAAATTTTATTAAAGATTAAAGATTAAACGATTGTTCAAACATGGCGAATAAATTGACAAAACGAAAATATTACATGACGTTCCATCGAAAATAACAGCAAGGATTGCGGGCGCGAGCGGAAGGCGAGGGTAATAGATATTAATAGAAGGGATGATACATCGGTAATGGGATCGTCTGATGTGTTAAAGTCACGTGATATTTGTTTCATCCCTTTTATTTATTTCTTCCCTCGCCTTTTCGCTCGCGCGCCCGCGCAATCTCTGCTGTTATTTGTATAACTATATCTGTTATGTTACATGTATAATATTTTCGTTTTGTCAATTTTTTCGCCATATTTGAACAATCTTTCGAAGCAATGTTTCTGAACATATATAAGCGTCCTGTTTGAAGCTATTGACTGGAAATACAAGCTCTTATAATTTATACAAGTAAGTGCAATAATTTAAATATATTACGTTATGATGTTTTATTCATAATACGTTTAATTAATGTCTTATTCATATTCATAACACAGCACTTAGTTGGACCCCCTGTGTGCGCGCGCAAAATTGCGCCTAGTGGAAAACCGGCTTTAGAGTCTCGAAAAATGTCTCTCTGTAGCTCAATTGGTTAGAGACAACGCAGGAAATGCGGAAACGCAGGACCGCAGGCCCTATTCCATCCGGACGGCCGATAGTTCCATTGTTTTCAGAACTGCTCTATCTTAAGTCTGTTAGGTCTAATAAATGTATAAAAAATCCTTCCTTGCTTTGATTGGACTTTGCTGCTTGTAATATGCTTATATCAAGAGTGGGTTTAATACTAAATTCTCAAGAATACACATTCAAGCACACCTGCTCCTCAATACGCTGTACCACGTCTTGACATCTTAGTCGATCTTCGGCACAAAATTCCCAACACTGGAGCATCATTTCGTAAAGCGCGTCTGGACAATTTTTAGGCTTGCCAAGTCGTTGCCCGTTGTTAAGGTAAGGAAATATCTAAGAATAAGATACAGCAGTGTTCTAAATATTGTTACCAAAAATGTACGATTAAAGTTACAATAACCTCTCCCTAAAGGTAATTATTATTGAAATTACACATTACATTCATTCAAAAGTAATGCTGGGAACTTATAGTGCGTTTATTTTTAAATATTTATAAAAAACGTTTAATTTGATAAACCTCATGAGACTGTGAAAAAAGAAAAGCGAATCACACTCCTCAGTTGAGTCGCCATTTTGAATTTTTTCTTAAATTAATCCCCAAGCCAATTTCTTCTTTTTCTTCATCATTTAAACATAAGTAAGAGCTCATTGTAAAATAATAGCTCAGAAACTATAGATTTTCACGTTGTTTATTTAGAGTTTGTGTTTGGATTCTAAAATTTCTGCACTAACGTGGGCATGCAGATAGCTAGTGGGCCCGTATTCGTGCCGATAATCTGTCATCATGACCTGAGTGTGCGATTGAAGTTTGATCGGCACAGTTTTTAACTAGTTATAAAAATTATGAAATGATTGCATTGTTTATCGCAGTGTTATTAATCTCGGTGTTATTATCCACCGGCATGCACCGAAAGCAATGTGACAAAACAATCTAAAGTAGTTTATGTCATTACTGTCAAGTTCACGAAAATTTGACCACAAATGTTCCGAACTTCGTTGCAAATCTCGCCAGTTCGTTGCGAGATTGGGAAGTTCATATTGGAATTCACAAGCCAATTTGTAAACAAAGTCTCTGATTGATCCCTGAAGTAAAAGAAGCCAATCAAATGCATACTTTACAAACTCGTTTATAAATCTCATTATGAACTTTTGAACTTTGCAACGAAGTATTTTGTGAAATCAAATAACGGCCAATTCCAATTTTAATAAATTCTTTACGGCAATTTACTTTTAATTTACTACGCGGGCGGGGTCGGTTCGAGTATGTCATATTTTGGAAATGAGTCTAACTTCTTCGATATCAATGTAATCTAGTAATCATGATATTTTCTGTGTTGGTGTAATGTTCTCAGGTGAACAAGATGCTTGTGTGATGTTACTCTGAGTGTGTATCCACATCGGGCAGGCTTGAAAAATATGCGTGGCCACGGTGGGAATCGAACCTACGACCCAAATGAATACTAGCCCAATGCTCTGCTAACTAAGCTACGCGGTCAGATCAGGTCATTACTATAGATTACATTATCGAAGGAACTTAGACTCAGTTTCGAAATATCACATACTCGAACAGACCTGACCGCATAGCTGAGTCGGCAGAGCATTGGACTAGTATTCCAGAGGTCGTAGGTTCGAATCCCACCGTGGCCAGGCATATTTTTCAAGCCGGCACGGTGTGAATATACACTCAGAGTAAAATCACAAGCATCTTATTCACCTGAGTACATTACACCAACACAAGAAATGGATTATATTAAGTATAAAATGTGGTACGACGGGAAAATCCCCCCCCCCCCTCACCAACATTTCTGGGAAAAGTGTTTTAAGTTCCCTCTTCATTTCCAAAAGTGCCCTAGAAACCGGTACACCCCAATCTTTTGATGCTTCCCACGTCACTGCAAATGGTCAAATCTTTCGCATATTCCCTTAGAAGTATACACCCCGCTATAGGTGGGACATCGTTGTAAACTTGTATTGAACGTCTCGGTAAATGATTTTCTGAAAGTTTTTGTTCTTTCTCAAGATTATCACTCGATCGAATAAGTGTATGGCACACTGTAAATTTCAGGGAGTTAATTTAACACCAGTGGTATTATTCTGAACCTAATTTTACTCCTCATTTGGAGTTAATTGAGGTACAGTATAACTCCACCGGAGTTAAGTTAACTCCCTGAAATTAACAGTGCACGTATTACATAACAAAAATAGAAGTAAATTCACCAAGTCCTTGGATGTCAGTTGATGGTAGGGAAGATGTGATATTTCTTCATCGCTTTCATCAAGATCTTTGTCAATGAGAGTGAATATCTCCCATATCAACACTGCAAACGCCCACACGTCACTAGCTTTGGAGAACATTCCATCAGTGATTACTTCTGGTGAACTCCTAAAAAGAATGTAACTAATGCTTAGGGACGAAAGTAACATATTGGATAAACCATTGTAGATGATGATACTCTGACTATGACGACACCAGGTAAACTAACCATGGGGGGAGTCGTATGCGCGACGTTTGTTTTTAGTCCAAAAAGTAAATTCAGAGTCGGGATAATTATAAATTACAGTTGAGCTATAACATGTGGCTGAGCTAGCTACGGAACATCACAATTATTATTCGGGGTTTTGTTGGAAAACACCAGTCAATTTCTATAACATTTCATTGAATAAACTTGTTAAATAATATATTAAACAAAATTTGGAGAACCATGACTGCCATATGGCAGGACATTTTACTGTGGTTTCTATCTCCCAGCCCCTACCAAGCATTTGATTATTTATTTTTTTAAAAGTCAAATTCTAGAGGGGGGGGGGTATTAAATAATCGGGAAGATGTATCTGAGATAGTCAGAGCACAGGGTATATCTGGGTTAGAGTTCTTTAAACAAATTCACCTACCATCTCAGAGAATCGTCAGACATTGAAAGCTTGATTGGCATTGTGGAAAACAGGTCGTCCGGATTAGGTTTCACCTTTCTTACTCGTCCAAGACATGCCAGTTTTGTCTACAATTAACACTAAATTTAGTCACATCTTCCGCAGAAATAAAATGATTACTTGTTTACTCAAATATTAATAATAGTAATTGAACTTCGTATCGTGTATTTTTGGTTTGGAATCAAACGCGTGATTACAAATTTGCACGATCTGCACGAAGCCGGAGTGCAATTTCAGACCAAAATTACGCGACACGAACATCCGCTTTACCACATTCATTTTGAAATATAAAACCTTCTTGCAAGCCACAATTAAACATTATTCTTGTTTACAAAGAACACATCCCTCTCCGTTCCATATATCCATTAATGCCGTTGCGTTGCAACAATTCGAAGTAATTTCAATTTTTTTATCGCACAAATTCTGAAGAGAAAGGTTGTAATGAAGAATAAAAGACAGTACAAGTAAGTTTAGACATATTAAAAGTCTTACGAAAAATTTTATATAGTTTTAGTGGGGATATGTGGGTTGATACATGGAAACTACAAAAGATAACTTTATCTTGTCATGCCCAATACTTTAAAGTTGATTTTGTTGACATTTTGAGCTTGTTTCATAAAAGATTCTAACCCCGTTTTCCTATTGATAATTTAACTATCCATATTTCTTGTTTTCATGTCCAAAAATCGCCCTAGTGGTCAAAAGTACTAAACTTATGGCGTATTGATTTTTTTTATTTTGCCCATTTGCGGATTTGCCATATCACATTTTTCTTAAAAATGATTGGCTGGTTTAATCATATGATTAAATTTGATTAGTTGGCAGAGGTTAGCACCGGATTGATTAAAAAAGGGTCACGATTTTTACCACGAATCGCACTGCTAATAATGCTATGACTGCAATTTTTGGTGAAATCGCACTATTAGGAGCCAATCAAATGGCAGAAAACACCATTGATTTCAAAACGAATGTAATAAAGGTGAAAATAGCAAAAAATATAGTTCTCTAGTGGAAAAGTATAAGCCCATTTCCTGTAACCCTGGTACGAATACTACAAGACTAAGTCATATACACTCGAGCTAAGTTATATATACATCCACTCATGCATGTGTAATCAGTTATGTGTCAACAAAATGTTCGCACGCTAATTTAAAGTGCCTATATCACTTGTGGGACCTTTATGGATTTGAAAAGAGCGCAAAAAGGTAGTTAATAAGTTCAAAAGATTTTTTTGAGTTAGTGCAATAATTTCGAAGATACAGGCCTCTAAACTACCTACAGTTCCTGAGTCTCAGGCTCCTATTGACAATGGACAGTTTCGAAAATTAAAGGCGAAATTCAATAGCCGTGTTTAGAGCCCAGGAGGCTGGGACTCAGGAACAGTCCGTTGTTTAAAGGACTATATCTTCAAAACTATTGCACTAAAACAAAAAATTCTTTTGAACTTATTAACTAACTTTTTACGCTCTTTTCAAGTCCATAAAGGTCCCACAAGTGATATAGGCACTTTAATGAAAACTACCGTACAAGCATTAAAAAATTGACTCACATTTCCATTCGAATCAATAAAGATAGATGCTGCTCGCAGATTTCGATGTATGAATCTCCTGTTGTGCAGAAACAACACGGCCTCCCCAATTTGTGATAGATATGTAATAGCATCTTCTACAGGACATCCAAATGACTTGATAAATTCTTCCAAGGTTCCCATATCACCAACTTCTGTGATCTTAAAAATAATACGCGTTCATTTAGTAACACAATTGGCACATATATAATGAATTAATTGACAGAACCCCTAAGCATGCGACTTTTTTTACCACAAGGACGCCAACTGGAAGTCAATCGAGTCGTTATGTATACGCAAAAATCTTTTATCTTGTAACAAGTCTTCCAACAAGCCGTCAACAAGTTGTGTTCGCACTGCTTGTCTCAATTTGTCAACAAGTTTGGGACAAGCTGTTTAACCAGCCTAGACCTAGGCCTTCTATTTTTATTTATATTTTTTTAATATTCAGCGCTTTTTCACATGAAAAAACTGGGACTAGGTGATTTGGGGGCGGGGCGGAGGAAGGACACAAGCCTGACGCAAGCGAAAAAATAGAAGGCCTAGTGGATTTCCCAACAACAAGGGCAAAACTGCCCTGAAACTGCCCTAGTTGCGAAATGCCCAATTATTGCGTTCTCAAACAGAATTATTTGCAACTTAACAGCGAATTTAAACCGATACAGGTAAAATAAACTCATTTATAGTATAAACTTACTATTTTTAGTTGTATACACGTCTAGAAAATCGGGTTTTTTATCATAAAGTTTGAAGCAACACTATTATTATGTTGACAAGGTGAAGCGAAAGCACAAAATAATAATTCTTTTATTCGCAAGACAATCTACTGTTTTGCTTTGAATAGCTATATTTGCGAATTGGGAATGAGGATTTTGAAATTATTGTTCAAATATTACGGATATACCCATAGTAAACAATGTACGTTTTTATATACAGTACTGTACGGGCTAATAATATATGTATCCGTTTTATTTAATAAATTATAATTGTATATGTGTTTGTATATTTTACAAACACAAGACTGCTTCTTGCCAAAATTGAGAAAATATATATACTAATGTACGTAGTTGTGTATAAGACAAAATTTCATGAAAGATTCTACTTTTGGTATATATTTTGACTCATTTTGTGCTTTCGCTACACCTTGTCAACATATTAAATAATAGTGTTGCTTCGAACTTTATGATAAAAACCCCGATTTTCTAGACGTGTATACAAATAAAAATAGTAAGTTTATACTATAAATGAGTTTATTTTACCTGTATCGGTTTAAATTCGCGTTAAGTTGCAAATAATTCTGTTTGAGAACGCAATAATTGGGCATTTCGCAACCAGAGCAGTTTCAGGGCAGTTTTGGCCTTGTTGTTGGGAAATCCACTAGGCCTTCTAGGCTTGCTTCCTCCGCCCCGCCCCCAAATCATCTAGTCCCAGTCTTTTCATGTGAAAAAGCGCTGAATATTAAAAAAATGTAAATAAGACTAGAAGGCCTAGGTCTAGGCTGCTGTTTAACAACTTATAACAACCATAATCGTTGATATAATCAGACTTGTTGCAAGGTTGTCACCTTCAAAGACTTTGTCTTTTTATAGACATAGTTAGTAAATAGATAGTATAATTAATTCTTATATGTAATTCATAACTTTTGTATATATCTCTAAGTGCACGACTCCACAAGCTTATGCTTTAAAAATTATCGTGCTTAAATAAAGTCATATTATTATTATTAACAAGTCCGATGCAGTTATGAAATAACAATATTTATTATATTTATTTTGAAATCACGCGCGATTCGAGCAATCTGATTGGATAAGAAAAGTGTGATGACGGCCCAAATTGCATTATTTTAGAGCTGTCATCGCACTATTTTGAGCTTTGCTTGCATCAGTATGAGTGGTAATCGCATAATTTTTTAAACCAATCATATTGAAGTGGTGATCTTAGCTAGCCAATCAAAGTAAAGTTTAGAATCATTTTATAGCCTGTCAATTTTAAGAAAAATTTGATCTGGCAAATTGGGTAAAATAAAAAAATCAGAGTATTGCCAATATGATGGCCAATCTTTTGCATATAAAAACTGTTGAACAATGCCCAAATGATTATGGACATATTAGGAAAAAATCTTTGTGAAACATGGCGAAAATACCAACAAAAAGCAACTTGATAAAGCGACAGGAAGAAAAACAAACAAGATAATCCGTACATCGTATAACTTGTTGATGTCGTTTGAATGAACAAACTGCATTAAAATTATATTGCATTAATGTTAAACCAATATAGTATTTTTTAAACTTACATTGGTTGTCTTTTAGTTCTTGTAAATTTCTTCATTTTTTGGTAAAACGATTCGAGATTTAAAGAAAGTTCAATTTGTTCGCTTGTTGCTACGCTACGGCATTTAGGGTAGTAACAGGAGCTTTTTTAAAAAAACTGTTTCCGTTTTACAAAATTGTTTAAAATTAAGATTTTAAAATGAATATCATAAAGTGGAAATTGCACTTCGTGTCGTGCAATTTTGGTCTGAAATCAAAACTTGTGATTACAAATCGCACCCCAGCTTCGCGGTCCTGTGATTTTGTAATCACGCGTTTGATTTCAGACCAAATTGCACTCCACTCAGCTGTGCAATTACCATTATTAATTGTCACTACCTAGTACCTATATACTAGAAAATACATGCATGCAGAAACCCTCGCCTTGCTGACAAAACCGTTGTATTTTCCGAACATGAAGTATCTAAAGTAGTTGTCATGGTAACACGATAATTTTTTAAGAATATTCTTACAAATGAAAATCGCCTAAAAATATCACTTTTAATTACAAAATTATCAATTTCCCAACATATATATGTTAGGTATGTATCTACGTAATACAAGCTTCAATTTAAGGTAAAATTCAACCACAAACAATTCACAAAACGTTTTAAAGTGTTCTTTATAAAACTAAACTGCCTTTAACTATTAAATGGCTTTATCGATAAACTTTGAGTTTGCAATAAAATGATTTCAAATTCTCGCTTGCAAATAACTTTGCTTTATTTTTTATTTAAAAAATTCAATATAATAAAAAAGGGAATCAATATTAAAGATACACTGAAATTATATGCTATCTTGTTTAGTTGTTTCATATACGCAAAGGCCGTCGGGTTTTAAAGCCATTATAAAATCAATATTTAAAGTAAACTTACCTTCGTTAACGTCGGCTCCCTTCTTTTAGCTGATTATTTCGCCCTTTCATTCTTGAAATTTACAAAATCTTGCAGAAATACGAGCAAAAATGAAGAATATTTGCAAGAAATTTATCAATCATCAACTCATCAAATCAAGAAATGTTTGTTATTTCGCTGTTCGTCATGCAGCCGTTATAATGCAAACTTTAAATTGGACCAATCAGTGTCCGTTATTCATGACAGTCCGCCATATTTTTGAGATCAGTGAGGATGACCACCCATCGTTGGTGACCGACGCCCGCGCTCATTGATGAACTTTAAACTTCGCTAATGCTTTCGTTTCCCCGGGTGTAAATAGCCGGGGGAAATTAGTACCCTCGCACGGCGCTTCGCGCCGCCGGCTCGGGGATTATAATGACTATACCAGACTTTTAAAACAACCTTGTGATAAGTCTGTTAACAACATCAAGTTTGTTACAAGTTGTTAACAGCTTGTTCCAAACTTGTTACAACAACTGGGAACAAGCAGTACAAACACAACTTGACGACAGCTTATGAACAGACTTGTAACAACTTGTTTGCAGACCTGTAACATGTTTTTCCTGAAACTAATTAAGCCGTACCAAATTGTATATATGAACTTTTTATCACTGCACGTTGCATGCATAAGCTATAGGGAATCTGCAAGACTAGATGTAATTATATATGGTATATATTGCCTAGTTTATAAAGTGCGAATAACCTTACATGAATTAATATCCTTCATTAAATAATTGTTGCATCGAGTTTGTAAGCTGCTTTATGGTTCGAGAAAACAACTTACATAACTGATTTCGATTTTGACCTTTTTAAGATTCGTTTGAAATGACCGAAACAATTGATCGTTAAGATGCACAAGAGACAATCCGCTTAAATTGAAGAATTCTTAGAAATTGTAGAAGTATTAGGTAGTATCACTCAAAATTTATCATACCAATTCCAGTTTTTCATCATGGACAATTCGTTCAGTAATAACAGCCAATGAAGGAAATTGAAGTTCGGATAATTTCAGGATATCAGAAGACGATGCAGGAATAAATTCTTTGATAAAATAACCCGTTCCCTATAGTCATAAATTAAGTATAAATTACTTTTGAGTTCTTAAAATTAACAGTAATATAATAGTATTCCCAGGGGCGTCGGAACTACTGTACCACACGCGCACTCTATTTAATTAAAATTTAAAACTGTTTTTAAGCAATTTAAGTCAATTTGAATTTAAAAACTTCTTTGAAACGTCATCAAGGTTTCCACCTTTATGGAAAAGTATCAAAAGTAAGTCATGATTCGATTGAATAATGGCTGTATGATTTTGTAGATGGAAATTAGCCTTTCTCACGCCGCCATTTTGGGTCGCATTTCGGCCGAAATCTGCGAGAAAAGTCCACATAAAGCTAGGATTCCACGACGAGCGAAATGCGAAAAATTTCGCGCGAAAAGGTTGAACGCATGCGCAACATGATTTTGGAATGTTTCTGCAAAATATTTTTCTTCGCCGGGTAGTTGAATTCGTTTCTACTCCGTTGCGAAATGGAAATAGCGAAGCCAATCAAGTGCTTGTGTTGTGGACAAATCTCGTGCTCATCATTCATTTTGGGCGAATTTATTTGATAGTGACGAAATTATATAACATTTTAAAGTAAGTCATTATGCATGTGTGACGTAGAAAGTTGGTTCTTCAAATCATACAAAATGAAATATCTCCGAAACGAAGCAAGAAAACAAAAATCTGTCAAAGAAGTTATCTGCAGTTTTCAATTATCTTTCAAACAAGACTAAAAAATAACACCGTCAATTTTCGAGTCATATGCCCTTTAAATCAAATATGTCATCCCATCAGACTATTGGTCAGCAGCTTGTGGTTCCAATAAATATTTGCAATAAAAAACATCTGCAACATCTTGACACAGATACTCTTTGTTGCTGTTGAATAATTGCATGCATAGATTATTCGGACAGGTCACAAGTGCTTTAAGCTCTCGCTTTAATTTGCTAAAATCTAAAGATGCTGCTAGGAATATTACAGTCCAATCTTAACGTCCTTGGAACAAGAAATAAGATCAATTTATCTGATGAGTAAGATCTAAGATTTAAGCAAAATTAATTGAGAAAGATGGAAAATGGGTGTGGTATACATTGCAGAAACAAATTTCAAGTATAGGGTGCGGTATACATTGTAGAAATAAAATTTTGTAAATCTTATACATTCATTAGACCTAACCAGATAGTAGTAGTCGCGAAAAATGCAACTATATTGGCCCTCTGGAGGGAATCAAACCTGCGGCCATACAATTCCGGTACAGTGCTCTAACCACTTGAGCTACAGAGGCCAGTTTTCGAGGTCTAATTAATGGCAAGTTGATGTATATATAAAGCTATTTCAATTAAGGTTGTCCCCAGCAAAGCGGAAAAGTCGAATATATACGAGCGCGAAAGGCTTGCTAGGAATCGCTAAAAATTAATTTCATTGCTGGGGAACAACGTTAACCTTAATTAAAATAGCTGTACCAGTGATGTTTTCCAGGGGGGACGCGGGGGAACGCCGTTCCCCACCTTTCTTACCAGGGGAACGGCGTCCCCTCTGCCAAAACCAAACATGGGGGAACCGGCGTTCCCCCTGGCAGGGATTAAATATGAGCGAAACTCAGTGAACGCCGTTTGACACCGTCCAAATAATTTTGGCTATCACTTGTACAAACGTTGTACTACATACGTGTTATTTTTTATACAATAACTGCTTCGCATCCTACGTAGAAATACTTTCGAACGTAACTTTCTCACTATTTTAATCTCCCTGAAACTTGATATACTTGCAGAAAATTCTAGCAGACTAGCACAAAAGAGTCTGATAATTCACGTCCGCATAGATAAGTACTTATTGTCACAAGCGCGGATAACGTCAGGCAGCAGCCCAGCAGGATATAATTACTCTATCGCGAAATAAGTCATTAAACATTAAAATGATCAATCGGAACATAAAATGATTCATGATCAATAAGAACATTAACATGATTAAATGGGAAAAATTCAAGGATATTTATTACCTAAGCTTATTTAGTTACTCGCGTAAATGTCATATTTAACTTGCAAAGTTGCCGAGTTGCCAGCTTGCTGCATACTCAGTGCTCGCATAGCGCTAATTCCATCATCGAAATTCGAAAGTCAACGTGGTTTTATTTACTTTTTGGCATCTACTGCGAGCAAGCTAGGTGTTTTTTAGGTATCATGTTCTGCTAAATCCATCTCAAAGATTAAGCTATTGCGACAGCGTATGTGCTATTGCGACAGCGTGTTTACTATGCATGAGGCCATGCCCAATCGAGTGACCACGCCCATTTGATTTTCAAGAGCGTCGCCCCACTTCTACAATTAGCAAAACATCGCTGAGCTGTACATACTAAGGTGATGCCGATGTCAGGTGTATGAATAAACATCAGGATTCCAGGCACCTCATGCAGTTGACAGCGCGTATGGAGCGTTTGCATGTACTCATTTCCCACGGACCAACTCGGCAAAAGCCATGGCAGCCATGTTGGTGTTCCAGACAAAAGAGTCTAATTAATATACTTTTGAATTGGAACGCCAACATGGCGGCTGTGACGTCATGTGCGAACGCTCTATAGTTATATTTTTCGCAACTGCTCCTGCATGGATAGTTCTAATAAATGTATAAAATGCTATATGCAGTTCTAGCTATAGACTAAATTTTGATCAAGGCAAGAAGAACAAAATCCAACATTACAGCTAGACAGCGCGTCTTAGAATGAGTAAAATTGCAAGGATTGGTTGCTAAATTTTGTAAAATGAAGAAAATATAGCTCTGTGAAGTTCTCAAATTTTGTATATATTTGTATTACGCGCGGTAAGAATAACCATTTTTGAGCGGAAAGTGGCCATTTTTACCACGCGTAATACAAATATGTACAAAATTTGCGAACTTCACGGGGCCATATTTTCTTCATTTTACACCATATAGCAACCAATCATTGCAGTTTTACTCATTCTAATTAGTCGCTCTTTCTAGCTGTGCTGTTGGATTTCGTCCTTCTTGTCTAGATCAAAATTTGGTCTATAGCTGGAATTATGGGAGTGACATGCCCCAAATCGTGATATTTAGAATTATATATACAGGACAAAATTATTTATTGAAAATCAAGACCTCATGCTGCGCAATTATAGTGTTAAATTTCAATGAAAACTATCTCTCTCGGTTTTTATCCTAAAAGCAGATCTTATCGCCGTACAGTGAATTGCGCGATATTAAAACTTACATCTTGCACATCCAATGGCGCAGCAATGTCAGACGCATTTAGACATTCTCCAACACAACCGTTGGCAATACAACCAGTTCTTGAGTTGATCGGTGGCTGTCGATTATAAAAAAAGTAAACAAAAAAATGTTTTCAAATGTCTGCAAATTAACATAAACTCAGACAACTAGGCGGAATTTTGCGCGCAGAGCGGAATTTCTCTTCGTCTTTTCTAATTATATTAGTTTCACACGAGATATCACATGAAGACTCGCGAGAAATCGTCATATCTTGGTAGACTATATGATAAATTAACGGCAATATTTTACGTAAACCAAGCATTTTAGCACTTACGGTTTCGGCTCGCGATGAACTGCCATATGAAATTCCAAAATAGGCTGGATCAGCATACTTTTCTGAATATACATTAAAAGAAAAGTTATACACGGAAATAAACAAATTCTGGTCGATTTCTAAAAAGTCATTTTGTGAGATGATAGAAGCAAAATACATTATTTAAAAGCTAGCATGTCATTAGGTTTCGAAAAACAAATGTGCTTGTCATAGAAAAAATTAATTGCCTAACTGAGAAGTAATATACCGACCGTTCGACCCGGCTTTTTGAGAGCGGCCGAGAGTGATTAAGAGTGAGCAAATTAAGTATTCAGTAAATGAGAGCGAGCTAACTTAATATTCAGTAAATGAGAGTGAACTAACTTAATAGTAGTCATTAAAGATTAAAGCAGTACAAATTTGCATAACCATGCAATAGAATTTCAATAGATATAATAGGGATAATATTAGGAACCGTCACAGTACCAACCTGGACAGTTTGGGCAAAACAGTCATTAAGAATGTACATGTCTCTGGCCTCCGCCCAAGCGAGTCAAAACATTAACTATGTCTAGGACTATCAAACCAGGAATAAAAAAAATCGAGACACATAGAGCTCGAGGGTAAATTTAATAAAACCGAACTTAGCAGTTGCTAAGCAAAGGTTAACATGGTTGTAAACGTCGTTGTTATAGTCGATATTTTCACATTACAAAGTCATTAAAAAGAGTTATTATATCAAGTATCACTTCCAGTGAAATGACGCACTGTCGGAAACATATTGCTATAAAGTAGAGCAGCATGTTGATGCATTGTACATTAGTAACATCACAGTTGGAATAAACAAATTATAGCCTTATAAAACGACAGATATATATATGCACTAAATGGAGAACAAATGGAATACAACTGTAAAACACTTTGTTGTGTTTTATAGCGCCCTGCTGCTGACGAGGCAGGATTTTCCCGTATTGCCCACAGGCAATACAAACTTTTTATTGTCCTGCGACGAGAGCCGAGTTTCAAACAGCAAAAAGTGTCTAAAAGTCTTTCAAACTATTCAAAACGAAGAAAAATAAACCTGGAATAAAGAAAAGCAGCAACTCGGTTGCGTTTAAAGAACTTTCTCAATACGTTTTTGCTAGCGAAAGTCAAAATTACAAGGTAATTGAATTTTATAATGTTTATAACTATTAAAGCAATCAGGAATAGTTGTGTTTGGACTATGTGATGTGCTGCAAATTTTATTTGCAGATAGCCAGGAGGAACTTGACACCGGCCGAAATAAAAAATACAACTAAAACAGCCACAGATTTAAAATTTTCGCCTGAAAATTTCTGTTTTTGTTATGATACAAAGAGACATAAATTCAATTCAATTCAATATTATTTCACTATTTACAGGATTTTTCTCAAGTAACGTTTAACGAGTACTTTAAAAAAAAGGATTATGAAAGGCAACCAGAGGGGCCGAAGCTTTCGAGCTGGTTGTCGCACAGCTGTTGTAAATACGAGATGAAGCAAACAAAAAACGTACTTGTCAATACTATTTATTAATTTTTTTGTTTTTATATTTGTTGTCTTTTAAAATTCGTGTTTATGCCTTTCACACTTTGTTTCACGATTCACAACCACTAATTCACGAAACTACATGCATGTTTCCAGTTAAAAGCGAGATACATAGCAAAATTAAAATATATTCTAAGACAGCAAAAATACATCTTTGCAAAATGAAAAACAATTTTTTAGCGAGCTTGTACTCGCGCATGCGCACAACGTCGAAAACCGTCCGTCACAATGGAGGACAACTTTGCACTTCGCTATGTTAAATATCCGGGTGTAAATAGCCGGGCGTAATTGCTACCCTGGACGGCGCGCTTCGTGCCGTTGGCTCGGGAAAAAATATTGAATCATTGTTTTTTTTAAAGTTGTGTCAATATGAATATTGATGGTAGAAATATAAATATTTAAGCTAGGAATATTAATATGGATAGGAGTAGGAATAGGATATAAGTAGGAGTAGGAATTATGAGGATGGAATATTAAGAGCGACTGTCCGTAAAAATCGAGCAAAATTTGAATTCTGCGGCAATACACGAAAAATAGATTTCGTTCATATTTTGCTCAAATTAAGGTAATACCTAGTTATAAATGGTGTTTGGGTTAGATTTTCAATATTTGGTCGATACACGTACAAATATCAGAAATCAAGAATTTGTCTCCAGGAGGCTATAATTAGCCGCAGACAAAGCCGCTGCCATGGTCAGTTTCATCACTTCGCGACGGATTCAAAACTGCCCGTAGATAGTTTTGATGGTATAATGACTATAATTCAAGTATCAAAGAACAATTTTATCAATATGGAATGGCCCAGGAGGCTTTAGCTGGCCTGACAGACGTTGTTGAAATTGGCTATTTTTAGTCAAATTTTACAATTGCATTTTGTCACTGGATTTGAAGGGGAAATTTACTATGTGCGATAATCGTGAATTTGTTTATATTTCATCCACGGAATGGTATAGCATGAGTACATGTTATATATAAAAACTAGCTTGGGTTATTGCCTTGGAGCCTCACGTGAGACTTTTAAAAAAGCTCATTTTGGTGATTTCCAGTGGAATGTAGCACAATTAAATCATTAGGCCCATACGTCTATACCAGAGTCACGAAGCTCAAATTGTTCAAAACTTTGAATTTTGTGTTTCGATATCAATGTATATGCTTTGTATACTTTATAAAGAATCGTTTAGAAGGATTTTCAATATATTTTAGTGATAGGCCTACTTACAACAAAAGCACAACAAATCATCATATCATTAGTACTAGACTGTAACGTTGCTATTTATAGCAATTCGCGTGTTGTTACTGAATGTATATTTAATATGTCTGCAGTCTGTAAGCTTTTGAAGTCTTATAATTTCTCATTTTTGTTTAATGCTTTCTCTGCATATGTAAACTAATAAAATTAACGTGAGACCATGCATGTTACGATATAAAAGACTATAAAATAACATAAAAACAAGTTGACAAAGATGAGTTTATAGTTCTTAGATTATTTACAAAGCGAATCTATATACCTATGAATATATATATAATTTAAAAATGTTTGTTAGTGGAATCTGGGAAATAAAATCAATGCCAATGTTGAGCGCTTTATAATGAAAAACTATATAGCTGTCAACTGAATAACAACTGTATAAAATTTATAGCTGCCTCACTGCTCGTATATATATATATATATATATATATATATATATATATATATATATATATATATATATATATATATATATATATATATATATATATATATATATATATATAATAGAATATGACTGTCTATAAACAACAAGCAGTGTTATTTTTAAGTTTACGTTTTATATTGATGGGGGGGGGGATTAAGTAAAAACAAAAAAGTAAACTACAATATTAAAACAGTAGCTAAAGGAGATCCTTTGTAAATGATGTCCTACACTGCGTGGAAATGAACGTAGTCTTGATTGATTGATTCTTTAATTTTCTGTAGAGGTTTTGTTTTGCTCAAAAATACAGCTTCAATGATGAAGAATGACTGTAACAGTTTATTCATATTCAATTTATCTCGCTTTTTTAAAATATTTTGACGTTGTGACGTCACCGTGAGATCGTGTCAAGAAAGTCTGATATCTTTGATGATAACTCAATAAAATTTAGTCAAACTTGGCATGTTTACACTGTAATGGGTGCACCTGCAAGTGAACAGTTCGGATTATTTATGTTTTGCCATAACAAATAATTAGTCCCCACTCTTTACTCGTTTAGCTTCTCTTCTTTTTTACAAATTCCTCCTGTAGACTTTAGTTTACTCGTTTCAATGGTTTACACAGGGCTGTAAATACTCGTTACAATTGTAACGCGTTACTGTGTACTCGTTACATTTGAAGTAATTTTAACCTCTAATTAATTACGTTTTTAGAAATGTAACGAAAAACGTACGGAACGTGTTCCTTTTCCAAGGTGCAAGTTGAAAATTCCTTTTCTTATTTTGTTAAAAGTGAGAAATAAAAAATACAACGTTACGACAAAAATTCAGAAAAATGGCTGAAATAATATTCAACGAAATCACTGTACATGACATGATAGCCTACATGAAGTACTATTTAATTTATTGCGAAAGTGGAGCCACAATTTGTTCCGAGGCTCAGAGCGCCAAATATTGGTAAATAAAGTTTTAAGAGTTTACATGCTTCGATTTGCATGTAAGATTTTTAATATATTGAAATATCATCTTGATAAATTCTTGCAAATTTCATAGTTTATGCCGTTTTTATTTACAACTACTGTTTAAGATATTATAATATATATATAGTAACAATTTGCAGGTAAAGGAATTTGTAATTAATTCCTTTTTTCCGCAGTAATTTTTTCATTGTACTTAATTACATTTTAGAACAAGTAATTGTAATCAGGAATTTATTACATTTTAAAGCAAGTAATTGTAATTGGAATTAATTCCTTTTTCAGTGGTAAACTTGCAGCCCTGGGTTTACAATTATCACAACACCTATGAATACTATCGTAATAAGCGGAAATTGCAGAAATTGGTTTTTATTTCGCTGGAAATGGTGGAAACGAACACCCGCGGGGAAACATCTGCTCATGCCAAATTGTAAACTTTTAAAAACATTGCTATTTAATTATTTAAGGTAATTGAAACAAACAAAAAAATACATTAGACGGGTAGTTTAGATATTAATAAAAAGTTTTATAACGTTACAGTAAAAATCTAAAAAGAAACAGAATTTAAATTAAAAATTACCGTTTAAATTAAGACCAGGAGGCGTGTAACATTTCTTGAAGAATTGTACGTCGAATACCGAACTTATGAACCTACGAAAAATATCTTTGTATGGTTCAGTTAAAGAACGTTTTATACAATAAATTTATCGACAGTCACTTTTGGTTTATTTTCTTGCATAAACTATTTCTTGCATATGTATAGACCATAATTATTTCTACTTTTTAGGTTGTCACGTTCATTATTCTGCTTGCATTTTCGGGCAAAACATCGAAGTCGCTCCGTGTCGCTTCCATTTTGTGTTTTTGACAACCATTTTGAGTTTTTGACAGTTTTTATTTTGCTCATGTACATATATCTTTTTCTTATTTGTAGCATATGTAGAAGAAGGTCACCTGTGGGTGCACACAAACTGCGAGGCAGCGAGGCAATGGCAAGCCCGCGAGGCATACGAGGCATGCGACTGATGCGAAGAAGGCTGTGAGGCATGTGAGGCAATCCCGCGAGTCCTGACGAGCCTTTTTTTTCTACTGCCCTTGGGCCATTGGTTTCCCTTGGTTTGAATGCATTTCCAAATTACCCAGAAATTCGTTTATAAAACCTAATCGAGTTTGTATGAACGTAGTTTTTCAATTGACAGATGAACAACGCAAAATAGTTAATATTCCATAATTTTTAGTGAAGCTTGTCACTTGTTGAGCTATTGTCTAGGTTAATGTTTGCTTTTTGACGTTTTGACTGGAGTGCTATAGTTCTTTAAAACTATAATGTATAGACAGTACTGTTATTAAAACTAGAATGTCGTTCACATTTGTCCGTTTGTCCAGCGTCAAGTTAAGTATGTTCAATATGTTAAATATCGTCAAATTTTGGAGTCAGTCATTGTGTCGGCCTCCCACTGGCACATCTGCCTGACTCGCACTTTTTTTCATGCCTCGCACTTTTTTTCATGCCTCGCACTTCTACCTCGCATGTTTCGCACTTTTTTTCATGCCTCGCATTGTGCCTCGCATCGTGCATCGCATGCCTCGCTGCCTCGCACTATAGTAAAACTCGTCACCTGTTTGTTAGTTTCGTAACAGGAGAGTCCAGAAAAATGTCTAGCGTAAATTAAAGTGTAAACATATACATGTTCCAACTTATGTACTTTTATTGCATTTACCTAGCTTTAATTCTCTTAGTTTACATATGCAGAGAAAGCATTAAACAAAAATGAGAAATTATAAGATTTCAAAAGCTTACAGACTGCAGACATATTAAATATACATTCAGTAACAACACGCGAATTGCTATAAATAGCAACGTTACAGTCTAGTAATGATATGATGATTTGTTGTGCTTTTGTTGTAAGTAGGCCTATCACTAAAATATATTGAAAATCCTTCTAAACGATTCTTTATAAAGTATACAAAGCATATACATTGATATCGAAACACAAAATTCAAAGTTTTGAACAATTTGAGCTTCGTGACTCTGGTATAGACGTATGGGCCTAATGATTTAATTGTGCTACATTCCACTGGAAATCACCAAAATGAGCTTTTTTAAAAGTCTCGCGTGAGGCTCCAAGGCAATAACCCAAGCTAGTTTTTATATATAACATGTACTTATGCTATACCATTCCGTGGATGAAATATAAACAAATTCATGATTATCGCACATAGTAAATTTCCCCTTCAAATCCAGTGACAAAATGCAATTGTAAAATTTGACTAAAAATAGCCAATTTCAACAACGTCTGTCAGGCCAGTTAAAGCATCCTGGGCCATTCTATATCGATAAAATTGTTCTTTAATACTTGAATTATAGTCATTAAACCATCAAAACTATCTACGGGCAGTTTTGAATCTGTCGCGAAGTGATGAAATTGACCATGGCAGCGGCTTTGTCTGCGGCTAATTATAGCCTTCCGGAGACAAATTCTTGATTTCTGATATTTGTACGTTTATCAACCAAATATTGAATATCTAACCCAAACACCATTTATAACTAGGTATTACTTAAATTTGAGCAAAATATGAAAGAAATCTATTTTTCATCTATTGCCACTGTTTGCTCGATTTTTACGGACAGTCGCTCTTAATAATTAATCACAAACCAATCCAGAATTTTTCCAAGGAGGCCAACTATTTTGCCAAGGGGAGAAATTAGTATTCTAGGAGTTAAGTTAGTTCTTCCCAGGAGTTAATTAGAGCCACGCCCACTTTCCCCAGCGACCACACCCAATTTCTTAACTCTCTCCATGTTGCCTTTCAACTAAACATGAGAGAGCTAAATTTGTCGTAGCTCTCTTCTGTCAAAACGTAAGAAATTACGTGAGTTAACATTTTCTTAACTCTCTGTTGTTATGGTTGAGAAGTGAGGTTGGAGTTGAATCTGATGTAAGTCTGATAAAGTTGATGTGCGTGTCCACTTAGATTGGCATCACCGAAGTTTTTGCCAAAGTCTTACCTGCGGACAAAGTGCAAAGAGTTCGTGCTCTTCAAGATCAAGGTGAAAAGGTCGCAATGGTTGGTGATGGTGTGAATGATTCTCCAGCGCTGGTTGCTGCTGACGTAGGTATTGCCATAGGAACTGGAACTGACGTGGCTGTTGAAGCTGCAGATATTGTCCTCATCAAGGTAAGTTTAATTTCGAACTTTCACGCTTCGTCGTTTCTAGTGTTTATGAATATTAATAAAATAACACACGATCAATAATTTATTTATTTGTATTAAGTAATAGGAAGGTTTCGAGTGCAATTAGGAAAAAACATGCACGAGTAATTTTTTCAAAGATTTGGAGGTCTTTATAAAAACTCACGAGTTTCTGCAGTGGCTGCCACTTGAGGACTGCTCTAAGCTGATTGGTTGATTTTAGATGTTTCTTCACCAATCAGATGAGTTCGTTACAATATTTTGCACTGTTGTTATGGATTTTTGTACTATATTCTGTTTGGCCAACAGTGCTTAATATGCTTACTATGCTTATTCTATGCAGCTATGAGATGAACTGGAGAATACTAATTAGCTGGGAGTGATTACTCAAACTAGATATATTCGCAATTTTTTAATGATATACATTGAAATATCACTCGACTGTGATTGGTTATTTCAATGCATTTATCCTGATTAGGTCTATGTTTCACTTGCTTAGGGTGCAACGTTAGAGCCATCAAATCATTAAATAGATAGATACTAAGCATTTGAAAGGTCTTTTGAATTTTTGTTTTCTTCGTTATGAAATGGTGCGAAAAGATTAGACAAAATAGGATAAAACAGCGAAGATGGAATGGATTAGCATAGGAAGGATGTTTAGCGTATATGCATGTTCTAATAATACTTCTAAGAAGATATCGACTGGCAAATTTCCAGTTTACACGATCTGCAGCAGATTATAGTCAACGGGCAGTTGTGACAGTGAGAATGACAGTGAGAAAATGAATTCTTAACTGTATAGTTCAATTTTCATTCTCTTGAATTGTCAACATTCCTGACGTTTAGCACAATCTGATGCCTCGAGTGTTCACCGGACCTATATATGAGGTTCTTAGAAAGAGTACTTGACAGCAAGTTATTTTTGTCTGGAATTCTTCTAAAGACCATGCAAATTTTTACTTTCAGGATAACCTAATGGATGTTGCAGCTGCGATTGATCTGTCAAAGGTGACTGTACGGAGAATCCGAATGAACTTTATATTTGCATTTTTCTACAATATAATTGGTATTCCAATTGCTGCTGGAGCATTTCATCATTGGGGCTTGGTACTTCAACCTTGGATGGCAAGTGCTGCTATGGCGGCGTCGTCGGTATCTGTCGTCTTATCATCGCTCTTGCTTAAGTTGTAAGTAATAGAGGTTGTGAGATAGTGATAGGATTTGTCATAAGGGAGAAGGCTACGTTTCATTCGATACAGTCGAACCTCCTTGATATACAGGCAGGGAACCACTTATTACGGGAACCGCTGAGTATTTTTAGGCTACAAAAAAACAACAACGGTAATTCCGAAAATGAGCTTTCTTAATATGGCATGCAGGTGGAGGCTACAGTATATTACTTTTTCAAAATGACTCCTTTGCGAACTGCTGAATTTAAAGGAAAATTTTTTTTTCTGAGCACGTTCTGAAGTTTAATCGACAAAAAAGGCAGCTAATTTCATGAAGGATGTGGCTGCTACTTTCGTTCCAAGTTTCGCTGCTGCATTTTTCCCGCACGACCCAGCCACTTTGCTGTGATAAACTTTTAATTTAAAACCGATTTACAGTATATCTTGTATTAATTTGAATCCTAAGCTTCCAAGTATTAAGAATGTTCATTTTCGGAGTTACTAAATCACATACAATGACAGCTCTAAAACGTAGAATGACGTCTATATGTAACACGAGATGGTGAGCTATCTGAGAATCCCAAAACCTACAAATTAAAATAAAATCAGTGCCTGCAGGTATTTGTTGCATGCGACTTCATTGGCTGACGTGTCCGTTTCATATATTTCACTACGATGACATCACTTTTAAGACTCTCCCCTGAACGTCTTAAGTTTTCAGTATCTAAAAACAGGCCCACAAATTCAGCGTTAGTACGAGTTACTCGTTTGGAATGATTTATACGAAGCAATTCTGCATTGATATTTACTCTAAATCCTATATTAATTTAAATCAGCCCCTCTCAATAGTCTCTATAAAGACCCCTTTTTGGAGTAAAAAAATTCTTAACACCCTGTCTATTATATCCTCCCCGATATATTAGGGAGTTTACGCATGTACGACGGCTAAACGTTTTTGAAATAAATGATTGCATGGAAATATTGTCTTGTATTTACTTTCGTATGAATTTAATACAGTTCAGAACGAGTAAAACAGAGCTTTAACCTTCAGAGCAATTTTGATTACCTCTGTTAGAAAAATTGCTTGCCACGGCTTGAAATGCAAGCGTATATACTGTACACGACGTGAAAATTAGTTTACATTTTGCCGTCGTCAACAGAGCCTGGACGACGTCTGAAACTCCTGCTATACTTTCAATTCTTTCTTTTGTGCTATATAGAATTAATGACATTGTATTGATAGCCGTCGTCCTGATGTTGCCGTCTTACATGCATGCGTAAAATCCCTAATATTAAGTGAGGGGCCGTGTTGTAGATGTTATTTTTAAAAGAAAATATAAGTATGATTTAGTTTATTACCTCCGCCAGGAGGTTATGTAATCATCTGGGTTTATATGTGTGTGTGTATGTGTGTGTGTGTGTGTGTATGTGTGTGTGTTTGTCTGTGAGCACGATAACTCAAGAAATACCAAACATATTCATACGAAATTTCTTTAATGCATTTCCCATCGGCTAAGGAAGAAATGATTAAAATTTGGTTGAATTTGGTTAAAAATTGAACGAGAAATGAACAAAATTTTGTCTTGCTTTTCCCGGTCAATTAAAAAAAACTCACTGAATGCGTAATTAGGACGTGTATAATGTATGCACGCAGTACTAAGAAGACAATGAGATGATAAACCTCATTAAGCTTCAGCCCTAATTATCTATTGTCTTAGTTGCATTTCACACGACCGAAATTTAATGTGGGCGGAGGTATGCAGTCTCTGAGTGCCCTCTAGTTAGTTCCTTCTTTTATAATGCATTTATTTTCCGCACGGCTCTTTGAAAATCACCTATGTGAAAGGTTACCGTGTTTAAAGATCAATAATAATAATAATAATAATAATAATAATAATAATAATAATAATAATAATAATAATAATAATAATAATAATAAAGCTGTCCGTAAAGAGGACAGGAGGTTTCCTCGACAGTATTTATAGAACGGAGATGGTGATTACCGAACACAAGGAAACGAAGTACCGGTGTTGCTCGAAATGCTAAAAGTTGATAAAAAAAAAACAAAAAAGATCTTCACGTCTTATTTGATAAGAACGCTATATAACCGTAGCGTACAGTAGGCCCTCGGAGTACCTTGTCAATTGGGATGTATAAGAACCATTCGGCCTACCTCTGAGTGATATGCATGATTATTCATAAAAATGGCTGACTATACAAAAGATGGTAAACCATGCAAAAATCCTGATTCCTAAGAAATGTACTCGTAATTCTTGAAAAGACCGTATTCTTCATGCATGCGATAATTTTATTAAGGAATACCAAATGATTTTCTGTGCAGGATAGCGTCATCCATGCACGCGGGGTGTTGCGAGACGTTCGGAAAGCGTAACATTTTTGTGCATGAATGACGCTATCCTGCACGGAAAACTATTTGGTGTAATTGTTTTATAAAATAACTACAGTGAAACAACGATTAACTTTATTAAAATTATTGATGAAATGTGCAATTCTCACAACAATCGTGAACTAACGAATCAGAGACAGAGTTTGTATAAGTCGCTATCCCCCACAAATGTTCTTTATAACGCCTTCATAACTTCACAGTCACGTTAAAATGTTTTCACTGTCCAACATTTTAAAAAGCCCGCGCGCAGGCATTTATTTTTCGTGCAGAATTGTCTGATCCTGCACGGGTATTGACCAATCAAATTCCGTGTTTCACTGTAAATATTATATATTCCAAATCGTTCAAGTTTCTTCAGCAACTTTGGAAAGTTTGCTTTATGGTATTTTTATTGCTTTCTTTTCAGATACAAGAAGCCGAGTACAACACCAAAAGGCCGGATCAAATCCAGAAAAAAGGTTTATAGTCGCGTGTGAAAAGTTGCTCTGATTGCTAAATCAATGCGGATTTCGTATTGCACAGAAAACTGGCACTAGAAAAATCATACAAGATTAGACATACAAAACAAATGGTCAAAAATGGAACGAGAGTTTGATACCATATTGAACATATTTTGAACATATTTTGTCTATGAACATATTGTCTATGTCTTTGAACATATTTTGTCATATTTTGTTTGAACATATTTTGTCTAAGAGTAAGAGTATAAATAATAAAAATAGGTTCGTATATTGATGTTCTCCACTGCAAAGTCGACCGCTTGAATGAATGGGTTGTAACCCTCTAAATTTTAGTTACTTAGCCTACTTGTACTTGATCAAGTAAAATACTAAAGCGGGCTTTCGTGTTAGCGGGTTAAAATTGAATTTTAACTATATATAGATATTTTAATATTTTTTAATGGATGATTCCAGCTGTCGACTAATTTTTTATGTAAAATATAGCCCTGTGAAATTAGCAAATTTTGAGTATTTTAGTATTACGCGCAGTAAAAACACGGGCAATAGGACAGGTGTAGTGTTGTTAAATAGAAAGTTAGAAATGGTATTGTACTTACTCATGTATTATAATTATGTTTAAAAGATCAGAATATTCATAACTTCTTATTTTGTTTCATAAATAGTTCTTTAATTAATATTCGAAACAAATTCCATATCTGCTTCGTCTGCCATCGCCATGTTTGCTCGTCCCAATCTACATGCTGCACGGCATTGCCGCCCCTCCTGGCAAAATAATAAGCAAGCGAGAAAAATTAAGGAGAAAATAAGAGGGTAGGAACATTGTGGGCGTTTCGTGGGCGTGTCATCGTTCTGGGCGAATCGGCTTTCTCAATCTTGTATCACATGACTAATTCAAATCGTCATAGGCGGGAAGCAGCATTACACGTCATCCCTACGTCAAATAAAACGTTATAAAACGCGTCGTGGATACGTTTGTGCCATATATGGAAGTTATGGATACGTTTGTGCCATATATGGAAGTGTCACTGCATCCAGCTTATGACAACGATGTTCCTACCCTCTTATTTTCTTCTAATTTTTCTCGCTTGCTTATTATTTTGCCAGGAGGGGCGGCAATGCCGTGCAGCATGTAGATTGGGACGAGTAAACATGGCGATGCCAGACGAAGCAGATATGGAATTTGTTTCGAATATTAAAGAACTATTTATGAAACAAAATAAGAAGTTATGAATATTCTGATCTTTTAAACATAATTATAATACATGAGTAAGTACAATACCATTTCTAACTTTCTATTTAACAACACTACACCTGTCCTATTGCCCGTGGTAAAAATAACTACTTTCGGCTCAAAAATGGTTATTTTTACCGCGCGTAATACTAAATTACTCAAAATTTGCTAATTTCACAAGGCTATATTTTCCGTATTTTACAACATTTCGCAACCAAACTTTGCAATTTTACTAATTTTAGGATGCTCTTTTGAGCTATATAATGATATATTTCGTCTTTCTTGTCTAGATAAAAAAAAATTAGTCGATAGCTGCAATCATCTATTTCGGTTCTTTTGCCATTAATTTTAAAAGAAACGAATATGAATAATTTCTTATTGTAGCACGGTCCTGCATGTTGAAATCCACAACTAAACCACTATTTTTGATGTTGCAGTATAATGTTGAAAAATAAGAATGACGTTTTTTGTTTATCATCTCCTGGCACTACATTTATGAGGGGGTAAATACGAGGCGAGTGCATGGGTCACTTTTTTTGCCGTTTGTCTGTTCAGTTATAGATACACATTATGATGTCATACTGTGTATCTGTAACTGAAAATATACACATTCATATTGATGTGGTAATATCGGTTTAATTTTGTTACTCTGCATGTGCTGTTAATAATCTGGGTAATAACATCATGGAGTAGTTATTATCACATATTAATTCTGATACCTCCCCAGAGGTTTGGAGTGAAAAGATGTAGTTAAAGAGTGAGTATCATGCCTGTGATCCTTTGCACGCTTGTGTTTACATTTTATGTTTATATTACAGTTTATCTCATGAATTTGTTATATGGTTGATTATGAGAATGACAAAAGAATAAGCTATAGAATGGATTTTCTAAAGAACGAAGCAAGAACAATATTTCTTTTGTTTATGTAAGTCAATTACGTCTTTTGTCATTGTCATAGTCAACCAGTCACAGAACACTGATCTTCCTAGAGCTTCGTGTTTGCTGAAAGGAGCACTGGCATGATACTCACTCTTTAATTTCTAAAGCACTTCATTTGAATTATAGATCATTTCCGAATTACGCTGTGATTGCCAAGAACAATAACACCAAGTGGAGGCTCAGCGCTGATTTTCTAATATAGCGGAAACATTACATTAGCATGAAGCCTCGTTCTCAGGCTATTGTTTGTTGGCAATCAAACGTTATTCGGAAATGCCTGTTATAATTAAAGAACAAAGAGATGTAATGTATATTTTATCGTAATTGTGTAAAGAATATTGACGATAGTTTTATAAGAAGTGTAGTAGTTCTACAATATAGCAATGCGAAATATTTTTAAAAAAATAAAAGTCAGTCAGAGTCGACATTTACACAATTAATACAAATATCTATATATATGTATGGATCTAGTTTACGCAGAGGCGCCGGAATATCGATAATTGCGGGGGCAGATATTCATATATTCGTGTTCACAGAGTGTAAAAACAATCGATTTCAAAAGAAATTAATTGGGCAGAACACGAATATATGAATATCTGCCCCAATTATCGATATTCCGGCGCCTCTGAGTACGTATACTGTGAAATATATTTAAACCTGTTTTCCATGAATGCCGTGCCTATCGGATATGATATTTCAACACTATAGATCTTTCGTATAATGACGTCAAACGCGGAAAAATACTTATAATGCGATGTTTTTATGACATTTAATATTGGCTCCTGTATTTGAGGGTTGTCCAATACTGTCGCATAGATTCGGGTCGTACAATTTGTAAAATTCGCCTAATTTGACAGTATATACAAGTGATGGTGATAGTTAGGGTATTAGGTAGTTGGTCTCTATTCGTCGAGTCGTTCGATTGGGCCAATTTGCATGACGAAATGTTGTAAAATGCGGATAATATAGCCTTGCGAAGTTTGCCGCTTTTCAGTCATTTTGCATTACAGTCTAACATTTTGCATCAGTTTGATCATCTGATTATCAATTTCCCATTTGTAATACAAAATGACTGAAAAACGGCAAACTTCGCAAGGCTATATTATCCGCATTTTACAACATTTCGCAACGAAACTTCGGAATATTACTAATTTTGTGATGCTCTTTCAAGCTGTGATGAAATTTTTGTCCAGACTTGTCTAGATCAAAATTTCACTCAAAAGGGGAAAGGCCTATTAATGCATGGTTTATACTTCGTTATTTAAGCTGAGATACCTTTCTTCCTCTAACAATGGACAACTTGCATGTTAGACTAAATTTTAATCTAAGACAAGTAACGAGAAGGGAATCAAACACAACAGTTAAAAAGAACATAATGAAATTAGTAAAATTGCAAAATTTGATTGCGAAATGTTGTAAAATACAGAAAATATACCTTGCGAAGTTCGCATATTTTCAGTATATTTGTATTACGTGCGGAAATTGTTACCATTTTCGGCTCAAAAATGGTAACAATTTCGAAATTCCGCACGTAATGTAAATATACTGAAAAAATGCAAACTTCGCAAGGCTATATTTTCTGTATTTTACAACATTTCGCAACCAAATTTTGCAAATAATTTTTTAATAAGTTCTTTACGGGAATTTACTTTTTTTTGCCTAAATCAAAAATTAGTCTAACATGCAAGTTGTCTATTCAATACTGCCACTCAGTGCAGGTATATAGACGGAGAATAAAAGATTAAGTACAACAGTGATAAAAACTGCAGAGCGGTTGCAGTCTGGTATAACTCGTCCATCGTGACTATGGTTGAAAGGGAGTTTGTCTAATATGCGAGTTGCGAGTCTGCGAGTTTACAGTGGGGATTTATTGCCTCGAAAACGCTCTTAAAAGATCGTGACTAAAACACCACACGAGTACATACGAGTAACATACGAGTAACACACAAGTACATACGAGTACATACGAGTAACACACGAGTACATACAAGTAAAACACAAGTACATACGAGTATAATACGAGTACATACGAGTAGAATACGAGTAAAATACGAGTAGTAAACTTGTTTTTAGTGTTTGTAGATTGAATACAGGCAAAAAGATCGTCTTCTCTGTCGAAAAACGTGGAATGGGGGAACGGGGAATGGAGGAACGGGGAATGGGGGAACGGGCAATGGGGGAATGGGGAATGGGGAATGGGAGAACGGGGAATGCGGGAATGGGGGAACGGGGAATTGGGGGGCGGGGAATGGGGGGACGGGGAATGGGGAACGGAGGGAATAGTGGGGCGAGGGGGAGGAATAGGGGGCGGGGAAGGTCTGCCCGATTCTATAAACCACAACTTTGTAGTTTGTACAACATCTACTTTTAGGTATTCTACCTAGATAGTTAGATACATGACACAAACCATAGGCTTCACATATTTCACGGCATGGTTTGCTTTCAAAACCCTGTGAGCATGCACATAACCTAACTTCATCTATACTTAAATAGTACTAGGTGATAAACTTACAATCCTCACATAGCCTCAATCACAACATGTGGCTAGGCAAATATACGAACTACACAGTTAACGTATACCGCGACATACGACAGTTCCGAGACCGAAATACAGGACAACAGGGCCTTTTTTAAGGATTTTCCCGTGGAGGGGTATTTTTTGAAAAGGGACCTTAGATAATATGTTAGAGGAGGATAGCAATGGCCGACGGCCACGTGTGTGGCCGACATACTCCCCCAGAAAATGTTTTAAATTTGAACCTTTCAAATGCCATTTCCTACTTTATGAGCATCTAAATTTTCTCTAAAATTTATGCTAATTATACTTGTATTTGAAATAAAAGAAGGAAAAAATGCAGAAAAAATAAAAGAAATATTAACAATAATTTATCCATTACTTATTATTAAAGGGGGATAGCAATGGCCGTGGGTCACCTGTGTGGCCGACATACCGCGAATGAATAGGGGGGTCTGGAGGCATTAACTCCCCCAGAAAATGTTTGAAATTT